TCTTAACTGGTAAAGTCGTATGCTTTCCCGCACTCAGCTCTGCAAGTCCATCACCTCATGTTTGTCTGGCTCCTGATTACCCAGGAGGATCAACTTTAAGATCCTCATCTTACATTTAAATGCATCCATTGCCTCGCTCCTATCCTACCTCAGTGATCTCCTGCTACCCTACTCCCCAACTACTTCCGCTCTGTCATCTCTGTCCTGTCGTCTCCGACTCAAATCCCTCTGCCTCACCCCTTCCCTCTTGGCTTTCAAACCCCATTTTTATGAGCCTTTGTTTTGGCGACCTCCCCTCCCACTACCCATCCTGTCTCCTTCATTATCCTGCGCTCCTGTTCAGTTTTTGTAAAGTACTATGAGACATTATCCCTAGGGCCTAGATGAAAAGTGCTGTATAAAGGCATAATTGTTGGTTGTTGCAATATTGTGTATGAGTAATAGTGGGAAATATGCATTATGTAACAGTCACCAATAATAATTATCAGATCACATACCATATACATCCACTATAATTTTTATTGTAACTGTAACTATCGTAATTGTAACCCTTGTAAGAAAACGTAATGTGTTGAAAATGCTGTACTTGCAAAAGCAAAATTAGTGATACGACTCAGTGGTAATTATAATTCCGTATCTGAAAATTCTCTGAGTATTTCTCACTTCTGCATTTCCCAGTTAGCAGTTGCTGTTTTCCAAAAATAAGTTTCCAGAAACTAGTTTATCAGCTTTGTTGCAATTTCTGTTGTTGAAAAACTGCGGTGTCCCTTTTAGTGCTGTTATGATACTTATGTGTGTTGTTAAAAAAATAAATTATTATCCTGAAGCTGCTATAATCATAGCTAGATATTCTTAAACAAGGACCGAGTGAGCATTATTGTATTATTGTAGCGAAAGAGAAAAATACAGTGGAAAATTGGTATTTATTTTATTTGTCACTTCCCACTCACTGCCATTTCTATCATTGTCACTACCCACATACTGTCACCTCTTTCACTGTCACTTCCTACATTTTGCCATTTTGTTCACTGTCACATCCCATGTAGTGCCATTTGTTTCAGTGTTTCTTCCAATTTAATGCTGCGACGGTTTTCACTCCTTGATGTACGTGCGAATTTTAGTAACACTTTTGTACTAAGTGGCCTCTGTTCTCTCCTAACTCTGTCGGTGCGAGTCCCTGTTTCAAAGGTGACTCAACCGAGTCAGAGTCACACACAGACCAGTATTCCCAGTTAACTCCAATGCCTGGTAACTGGAATGTCTGATCGGAGTCTGCTTGCACCAGCAGAACTCTAACGTTGACAGCTACTCTCTGAAGTGCTTAGTCCTTTTCTGTTTCAAAATATTACAGAAACTTGAGAGTACATTCGGTAGAAACAATAGCTCCTTATTAAGACCTCGTAACCCTAGGCTACCTTGCATATAAGGGACACAACAATTTAAGATATACAACAATAGGATTGAATATAACTGTCACACATAACTATAACAACTGACAGCACAATACCTCATTAGTAAAGAGATATTAAACCAACCTGACTGTACAGTAGTCCTGTACATGTCAGTATGTACTGGATGATGACCAATATTTAGCGACCACAAGGAGCACCGAGCATTTCTTTTTATAGGTGTGTGGCTCCGCCCACCATATGATGTGAATGCGAGGGCTTTTTCCCAATCTAGCGCCCACGTTAATTTACTCTCCAGATTGCTTGTTAACTGACAGTCAGTCAAACAGCCCTGGACCTCTATATTGTTGAAACTCGTGTATCTCACGCACTCTTGCTAAGTCTTTTGCAAGCAGCTTCTGCAACACAATCCAATTTCCCTTAAATAATATTATATAGTTATATATCATATTATTTACACATTACTAAAGACTGCAAGAATAGGGCAACCATGACAGTGTACAAAAAAGTATAAAACAAGAGGAGGTTACTTGACTGATCGAGCCCTTCTTGGGAACAGTTTGTGCTGTACGGCTGCTCCTAACATCTTATTTCCTGAATGAAATGAATAATCACAGTTAACACTTTTAAAGAAAAACAAATTGTGCAATTTCTCCCCAGCATCCAAATGCACTCAAATTATTACACGACCCTGATCTGCTTTTGCATTCATTCCAAGATGGCATTCACAGATAGAACTGGACTGTTGTTATCATGTTTCTCAGATTACATGAGCCATCTGTGCCACTTATCTCTTAATTTCTGGAACTGTGTTGTTGTTTATATTCATCTATTTTATAAAGAAATCTATGCATATTTCCTCCAATTTTATTAAATTTTCTTTCCTTGCTTGAAGGTCTGATTCAAGCTACGATAAAGTTACAAAGAGCTATACAAAACAACAACATCCATTTATGTAGCTCCCTTCATGCAAGGGAGCTACATAAATGTGTCTCAGAGCGCTTAACAGTGCCTTAACGGGCCTGACGTCAAGACGGGGGGAGAGAGAAGATGACCCTAAGCCCGGTTGAAGTGGAAGGTTTTCAGTTGTGATCTAAAAGAGGGGAAGGAGGGGGCAAGGCTGAGGGATTGGGGTAGAGAGTTCCAAAGTTTCAGGGCATAGTGACTGAAAACTCCGATGGTGGAGCAGAGAGGATGAGTGACAACTATAGTGCCTGTCAAAGACTTTGTCAGGCACCAGGATAGTGACAGTGGGTCAATAGCAGCCAAACCAGCCACTTTTCATTTAACAGCCACACACAAAAAATTTCAGCGAAGTTCAATGGATAGAAATCAGAAACAGCAACTTTGAACTTTTTTTTTGGTGACACGTGCGGAAAACCATCACCATGTTTCTAAGTATCCAAACCAAGCTGAGATTTGAACTATTTTGGTCTCCCTACTACAGATTTCATTTCAAAATTAAATATTTTATTTTGTTCAGCCAGGTGATTGACAAATGCAGAAACCCATTACCAAGAGAATGCCAAGAGAATGTGGAGTCCTGTAGCTCAGTGGTTGGAGGACTCACCTCGCAAGCGAGTGACCTGGGTTCGATTCCTGGCAGGGCAAAATATTGGGCAAGTTTTCTTACTCCACACATCTGTTTACCTAGCAGTAAGTAGGAACCCGGTTGTTAGTCGATTGGGGGATCGCTTTTCTGGCAGTAATAATTCCTTCAAAAAAATAATAATAATACATAGGTCACTTCAATTCACAACTGTTTGTGGAACACTACTGTGTGCAATTGGGCCACGTTTTGTCCACAAAATATACCGTCAATTCACTTTATAGTGTATTCTATGAAGCGCTTTGAGATTTCTCAAAGATGTGATGAGACGCTATATCAAATGCAAGGATGATTATTATTATTATTATTAATTCAGACCAGACTCAGAGTTTTATGTATCCTGCCTACACATTAAAATTTACCTGTGTCTGGAATGGAACATGGATTCTCTCCCTAGAGGCCCGCAATCTGTTACCTAATCCCAGAGTATAAGGTGCAGTTTAACAAAAGCCAATACTTGGGGATCCCAGAAGTGCAATGGGGTACCACAGGAGGTTGGCCAGCTAAAACTGTATAGCTTGTTATTGAAAGAACTGTCTGGCAAGCCTCCCACAGCTTGTTCAACTAGGACCTCGCCATATACACTGGGGCTCTGGCTCAGAAGCTGAGTGGGTAGAATCCCTGCCCTTGAGTCCTGCTGATGAGCCAATCTGGCTGTGTTGGCATTAGCAGTGCTTTAGAATACTGGGGACCCTCCTGGCTCAGGAACCGGCCGAGCAAGCCCATCACAGAGGGTTGGCTCGATTTTGTGTGTCTCCTTATTATTCCAAGGAGACATGTTTACCAACCCTCAAAAAGTAGATAGTCATCAATTGGTCATTTGACATACGACAAGTGCGGGCTTTAGCCCTCAAATGGTGGAATGGCAGATACCCAGAACTCCCCTTGAACGTCCCTATGAGCGGCGCAGCTCAGCATGAAATCAGAGAGAGCACTGCTGCCATCCTCCGCAGTTTGGACACACAACACTGGCCATTGAGCGATGGGAGGAGGAGCAGGGAATAGGAAACTACAGTCCTCCACACGCCTGTTTACCGAGCAGTAAGTAGGAACCCGGTTGTTAGTCAATTGGCTTTTCCAGGGATAATAGTCCCTCCAAAAAAATTGGTCACTCAATCCATGACTGTTTGTGGAACACTGCTGTGCGCAATTAGCTGCCACATTTCACCCACAAAATATACAGTCAATTCACTTTACAGTATATTGTATGAAGCCCTTTGAGATGACTCGAAGACATGATATGGTGCTATATCAAATGTAATAATAATAATAATCCTTGCATTTGATATAGCACTTTTCACATCTCCTAGACGTCTCAAAGCGCTTCACAGAATATGCTGTAAAGTGAATTGACTGTATATTTGTGGGTGAAACGCGGCAGCCAATTGCACACAGTAGTGTCCCACAAACAGTCGTGGATTGAAAATGACCAATTTATTATTGTTTATTAAGGTTTGGGAATTTGGAGAACCCCGTGGGCTTTTGCATCCTGTTTATTCTTCGTGTGTCTCTGTGTCTGTGTGTGTATGTGTGTGCCTGTGTGCCTGTGTGTGCCTGTGTCTCTAGTGTGTGTTTTTGGAAGGATTATTATTAGGCGTGTGGAGTAAGGAAACTTGCCCAAAGTTTCGCCCTGCCTGGAATTGAACCCAGGTGTCTCGCTTGCAAGGCGAGTGCTGTGACCACTGAGCTACAGGAAAACGTGCAAATGCAAGGGAGTATTATTTATTTATTATTATTTATTGGGTTATGGAAAGTGCATTCTTTCACTGAAGGGATGCACTCTCCTCAATGGATCCCAGAAGTGTATCAGACAGAGAACAAAAGGCGAGGGCAGCCTCTCTCCATGGATGCTGCCTGACCTGCTCTCAGTGGCCTCTGTGTTTGTGTGGGTTGGACGCAGGTTGGCGTCCGATGGGAAACTACAATTCCCAGAATGCTCCGGGGAAAAAGCGGCGCGCTGTGCGTGATGACGTTGACGACCTGTCCGGCGTGTGGAGACGAGCGGCGTGGACGAGTGAGTGGGTGAGGAGCGATGGCCGGTAACGTGGAGGAGATGGTGGCGGAGGCGGAGGCGGACAGGGACAGGGACAGACTCATCTGCAGGTCAGACAGGTATTAACAACCAGCGGCGGCGGAGCTAACAGCAGTCAGTCAGTCAGTCAGTCACCGCATAGGCGGCTCCTATGTCCAAGGCCCTGTGTCTCTGTGTGTGTGTGTGATCTACTGTCCCCCCACATACCTGCCCGTACCCCCCGTCCCTCTGCTCCACACCCCCCGCCCCAACCGCACTACCAGCGGTGGTCGGGCCTTCAGCCTCTCAGCCCCGAGGCTCTGGAACTCCATCCCCAGTGCCTTCGCCGCCTCCTCCCTTTCCTCCTTCCAGGCAGGGCGAAACCTTGGGCAAGTTTCCTTACTCCACACAGAGCCCTAATAATAATGCCTCCAAAACCCAAAACAATAATAAATTGGTCATTTTCAATCTACGACTGTTTGTGGGACATTGCTGTGCGCAATTGGCTGCCGCGTTCGCCCACAAATATACAGTCAATTCACTTTACAGTGTGTTCTGTGAAGCGCTTTGGGACGTCCTCCCGACGTGAAAAGCGCTATATCAAATGCAAGGATTATTATTATTATTATTAAGGCCGGTCTCAAGACCTTTCTCTTTGACCGTGCGTTCAGCTCCCCTCTCGACTCTCTACCCCCTCCTCGCTCCCTCCCTCCCTTCCCTCCCCTCACCCTGACCATTTCCCCCCTCCTCGCTCCCTCCCTTCCCTCCCCTCACCCTGACCATTTCCCCCCTCCTCTCTCCCTCCCTTCCCTCCCCTCACCCTGACCATTTCCCCCCAACGCTCGGGTCCCGACCCAACTGTCCAGCGCCTTGGGACGTCCTCCTGACGTGAAAGGCGCTCTATCAATGGAATCTTGTTGTTGTTGTTGTAAATGGAATCTTGTTGTTGTATTTGTATGGAGAAAAAAATTATGTAAAGGCTAAACATTTAGAGAATATATCTACAGTGGATAACTCAACATTTCATTCACCTCGTAAAGACTGAGTTGCAATGTAGATTGTATTATGTAGTTAAGAATATTATTTAGACAGATCTATACTTATTTACAAGAGTAGGTAATATTTGGTAGATTATGAGACATAAACTCTAGGATCTGTGTGCTGTTTGAAAAATAGTCAGGTACTGAAGAATATTGTTGATAGTTTGCATTGTTATCTTGCAAATAGCAATTTTGGCTCAGACAATGTGAACTAATCTTAATATAAAATCTTATTATTCTGAGCTAATCTAATATTGAAGTTGAGAGCCTCAACTTTCATCAAATGCTGTTCGAATTTTGTCGGCCAAAGCTTATATACAATACAAAATTACATTTGTACAGTGCCTTTCATATTGGGAGGATGTCCCAAGGCGCTGAACAGTCAGAGTCATTTGGACCCGGGTGGGGGAGTGTTGGTATCAGGGAGGGTAGAGGGCAAGAGGCTGGCTGAAAGCACAGTCAAAGGGGAAGATCTTGAGGGGTGCCTTGAAAGAAGCAAGGGAGGAACCGAGGCAAAGGGAATATGGGATGGAGTTCCAGAGGGTGGGGGCAGAGAGGCTGAAGGCCCGACCGCCAATGGTGGGCCGGGTGGGGTGACGTGGAGCCATGGAGGGCCTTGAAGGTGAGGATGAGAATTTTGGACTCGATCCTCTGAGAGCTTGTGGACGGAAGAGTTGGGGAGCCCAACAAACAGGGAATTGGCAGGGTCAAGCCTAGATGTGATGAAGGCAAGACGGGTGAGGCAGTGGCGGAGTTGGGCAATATTGCGGAGGTGGGGGAAGGCAGATTGGGTCATGGCATGGATGTGGAGGAGAAAGGACAGTTGAGATTTGAACAAAACGCCCAGGAAAGACTGGTGAGGTGGAGTGTGCATCCGTGGATGCTGATGCTGCCAGTGCCAGAGGTGCAATTTATATGCAATTTTTTAGATCTGTTCTTACTGCAGATCTGGCTCTTGGTACATTCTGTACTATATAAATGGTGGATTGAGAATTTAAATTAATTACTCCATGGATTCTTCTGCATTCTCCAAATATAAAGGTCACACGAGAGGTTTGAATGAAGATTGCCTCATTGTACCATCCCAACATCAATCTGTCTTTTTAATTGTGTCAAAGGTCTGGGCCTCAACCACTCTCCCTGGTTACCTGTTCCAGTCACTAATTACCCTCTGGGTAATTCATTACTTTTTAATAACAATAATAATATTTGCATTTGATATAGTGCCTTTCACATTGGGAGTGTATCAAAGCACTTCACAGAATATATTGTAAAATGTGGTAATTGCAGTATTTTGTAGGTGTATGCAGTAGCCAGTTTGCACATAGCAATGACCTAGAAAAAGCTATGAAATGAATAACCAATTTCATCTGTGGGATTGTTGGCTAGGATACTGCGAAAAACTTCACTTTTTGAATCATGTCGCAGGATCTTTAATGTCCCGCGAACAGGCAGACAGAACCTCGGTTTATTGTCTCATCTGAGGGACAATATCTCCAATAATGCAGCGCTCCTGCCACATTGTATTGCTGTGTCAGCTTAGACCAGCGTGGTCCAGCAGGGCCAGCAAATGGTGTGGCGGGTGATTTTGTCCGGCTCGCGTAACATTTCTGATTTCACTGCTTTACCTTCCGGCTGCTACTCTTTTCTGGTGGGTAACCATGAAGCAGCGCAGAGAGTGACAGGAAGATGGTTGGAGCAGGCAGGAGATGTCCTCCTGCTCCGTCCCTCCCCATCGTGTTTTGTGCTCCCTTGAGCCCCGTGCAGTCTGGTGAGACACAGCAAGCAGCAGGAGTGTTTTGCAATTCTAAAAGTACAGAACTATGAATCTCAGGAGGAAACGTAAGGTAGACATGGAAAATAGAGGATTTCAATATTAGTGGGAAGTGGATTACTTGTTTATGGAAAGTATTGGAAAACCTAAGTGCTTTGTTTGCTTGGAAAGTTATATCTGTGTTGAAGGAGTTTTGCAATTCTGGATTAGTCTGTTTTGTTGAGCAATCTCTGTAGGGACCTCCATATGCTGAATTGATATCTTGCATTTTGACTTTATATTACAAAATTGTATGCATCTATTTCCATTTGAGATGTGACTATTATTACGTAATACAGTCACACAATTTAAAATATCGAATTTCTGTATGATTCGTTTATGTTTCTGGAAGGGAAAAACAAAAATATTGCTTATGCGGCAAATATTGCTTATGCGGCTTGTGGACGTTTCTCAAATGTGGTATCCGGCCTCGATACCCAAAAGTTTGGACCACCCTCTCTTAGGCTATAGATTCAAGACTTGGGCTTTAACTCTCAACTGTCTGATTCAGAGGTGTTAGTGCTGTTAATATTCCAGACTGATGTCTGTGTAATGTGTTAATCTCTGTCCTGAAATTGCCCTTTGCAACCCTAAACCAGTGTCATCCTGTTCCCTGTCTGAGGGTATCCTAAAGTATAATCTGAGTTTACTAGTGTAATCCCATTTAACATTGCATATACCTCTTTATGGTCTCCTCAGATATTTCTCTTTTCAAGACTATAAAGCCCTCCCAAGCTTGTTTCATCATTATTCATAGCTCATACTTCTAACATTGGGGGTCATATGTATTACTTTCCTCTGCACTGCCTCGAGAGCCTGGGCAGTTCCTTTATGTCCTGGTGCCTAGAATTGTCCTACAGATTGACAATAAATCGGAGGGTTTAGCAAATTAATTGCCAACAGTGAATAAAATCAGAGCTCATACAGTGAATGTTGCTACAGTTACACTTCTAAAGCAATCTGGAGGAGGAGGTTTCAGGAGTGATGTGATTTGTGTCTGTGCGCACGCAAGTTCAATTTGAGCAAGTTGCTCCTTGGTTTTCCTTTGAAAGATCTTGGACTATGTGTTGGATCATCAGGAAGATTTGAATAAAGCAGAATTGGGTTTGTATTTTTCCTAGCTCAAATAAAACGATGTGGAGTGGGCAGAACAAACCCAGCTTTCTGCTCCCCGTTGTTACACTGCAACAAGGCTACTTCACTTCTGACCACATCTAAACAGCATGAGAATTTAACTCTGGAATGACTTTGCTATTCTTCTCTGAACCCTCTCCAATGCTTCAGGGTGTGCAATGTGTGACCACTGAAATACAGTACAACTACTGTAGGTTGTTGCCCTATTAATTAATCATACTGTAAATGAATGAAAGAAAGAGGGAAACACTGACATTATATGTCTTAACAGTTGAGTACCAATTAACAATATGCTGTAGTCAAGTTGGAATTAATCCCTTTCAAAGGGCTTATTTAATTATATTTTCATCATTAGTTTTGCGTAATACAATTTTAAGCCTTCTGAAAATCTATTTGAATATGCAATAGTAATCTTTACTTAGTGGGCTAAGTCAAAGTACACTGTACAGTAATGTTTATATTGTTTTGTGAATAACTGGATCATTCATTCCCAATAATAATAATAATCCTTGCATTTGATATAGCACTTTTCATGTCTTCTTGACGTCTCAAAGTGCTTCACAGAATATACTGTAAAGTGAATTGACCGTATATTTCTGGGTGAAATGCAGCAGCCAATTGCACACAGTAGTGTCCCCCAAACAGTCGTGGATTGAGTGACCAAATTATTATTGGTTTTCTTTGAGGGATTATTATCCCCAGAAAAGTGACCCACCAATCGATGAACAACCGGGGTTCCTACTTACTGCTAGGTAACCAGAGGCGTACGTGTGGAGTAAGGAAACTTGCCCAACATTGCGCTCTGACGGGAATCGAACCCAGGTCACCCGTTTGTGCAGTGAGTGGTCTAACCACTGAGCTACAGGACTCCACGCCTAATATGATATGTAAGTGTGGGAGCCCTCAAAATAGATACCTAGCCTATAAAAATTAACACTAAGTCTGGCAAAAAATTGTATTATTAATAACAAGGTATTACAACAGCAAACAACAACAAATTGCATTGATATAGCGCCTTTCGCGTCAGAAGTATGTTCCAAGGTACTGGATGGTTGGTGCCCGAATTGGGGATTGGATTCATGTGGTGGAGGCCAACAGGGGTGAGGGTGGAAAGTTGATGGAACTGGTGGTCTTGAGATGGACCTTAAAGGAGGTGAGGGAAGGATTGAGTTGAAGGGACTCTGGGTTGGAGTTCCATGGAGTGGAGGAGAAAGGCTGAAGGCCCAACTGTCAATGGTCGGGTGGGCAAGGGAGGAGGTCATGCGTGCCGGCCGAGCGGAAGGAGTGGGCAGGTTGAAGGGATTAAGAAGGTCACAAAGGTTATAATAAGATACTTATTTATATACTGACTGTAGGGATTGCAGCAAATAAATTGTTCTCTTTTGGCACCTAAAATTGGTGTTATTGGGGGAAAAAAAGCCTAAAATGTATTGGTACTAAGACACCATAAACTTAAGAATAGCACATTCCAGAAAAATGTATCCTGAGAAAAGGAAAAAATATCTAACCTAATGTGTTTTCTATCCTAGCGGCAGTGGTGAGGATTCCTTGGATAGCTTGTATTCCAGACTACCATTAACACCATCTCTCTCTCCACGGAAAAGAACAACCAGCCAAAGTAGGTCTGAGCCACCCCTTCTGAGGACCAGCAAACGCACAATCTACACTGCAGGGCGACCTCCCTGGTACAATGAGTCAGGAACACCATTTAAAGAAGCCTTTGTCATTGGTAAGTTTATATTAATGTTTTCAATGGTCGTGCATTTTACACAGCGCTTAAAAGATAAACTAAAGTATTGGAATGGATGCTCGCCGTAATCTACTATTGTCGGTACTTAATAAATTTCATAAATCAGTCAATTATTTTATAGTATCTAGTCTTTAGTACATGTGCTTACTCCTAAAGTGTGTTGAATAATTTCAGTAAACTTGTTATGTACACCAAATATACTAAACACACACAATTGGTGCTGGAATACACACTGAAAACGTGTTCTTTTCCTTCCTTCACAAATTAATCTCTTTTTACTCTGTGTTGCCCATCTTCCTTCACCAACATCTAACCATATGAAACAGCAAGAAAGGAGTGTTACTACTTGTGACTTAGCCTGAGTTAAACAATTGGTAGTGGAAGATACGCCCAACTCAGCTGATATGATTGCAGCTGAAGGGATATCTCCAAGGGAGCATATTGCTCTATGGGAAAGATAAATCTACAGCTCTGTGCTGTAGCATTGGGCTCACCTGTCTTTTCTCATGTTTTGGATCCAGTCTCGCTGAATGCAATATATTTTTAAACCTTGTGGACCGGCATTCGTTCTTGTATTGTACAAAATTATAGTATAGGAAGCCAATAGACCCATTCTGTCTACCCCACTGGAGTTTGAGATTTATCTCAATTATAAATGGATCAGTCAAGATGTGCTGACAGAATTAGCTTGTGCTGTTGATCACACAAGTTTAAAGAAATATGTGTCTTGGTGAACTTGTCAGCCTGTCTTAGTTAGTAGCGATCTCAATGCTCAAGTCAGACGGTTGTGGGTTCAAGCCCTATTTCAGTTCTTTGTGAGCTTACAGTTTAGGTTGAGACTCCGGGACTGGGCAAGCACTGCATGATCCGATACATTAAACAGATGTACAGTCTCTGCCCAGGTAGAAGTTAAAAATCCCATGGTGCTAGTTAAAAATATTAATTCTATTTTCATGTTATGTATAATATGTCTTTCATCCTTCTGAATATCAATGTGAATTCACAATATAAATCTCTACTCTGGGCTGAGTCAAAGTACAATATGCAGCAAATTTGTACTGTTTCTGAGTCACTGGATCATTCACTGCTAAAATCAATGAGTAAGAGACATCAAAACTGAGACCCGTGCTATAAAAACTAAGTGAAGTTCCTTTAACACCATTAAACAATGTCATAAGAAACTCATTAAATTCAAAGGTTATTGTATCCAACTATCACAGCCTTTTCTGTCTGGAAAGCAGAGTTTGAAAGGATGATGCAAGGTTGGCAATTGACTAAATTCTCCCCCCCACCCCACCTCAATTTTTTAAACAAGTACAGTATTCTTATGAATATGATGGATATCATCAGTATTTTTTTCCAAAAAGTAGAGTTTAACTTGGAGCTTATCTTAGAGTTTATAAGTGTTGCTACCTGGTTGTGCCTTGTATATCACAAATGGCATTTTTCAGTGTTACACTGACGTGCACAGAATCTTAAAGCAGCACAGGAACAAGTCATTCACTGGTGTTTCTTTCCATGTGACACATCTAATCTAATCCCGCTCTCCTATTTACTCCCTACACACTTTGATGTATTTCTTTTCCAAGCATCTATCCTATTCTCTTTTAAAATAATTTATGGATTCAGCTACGCTTTATGATGGGGAATTGCACATTCTTCTGTCTGTGTGAAGAATGTTTTAATTTTCACAAATCGCTTAATACTTCCTTTATATATCAAAGGGCCTACAAGGATCATTCTGTTTGTAATTTAGCAGTTCAAGGTCAAATTTGACAGCATAGGAGTTGGGGAGCCAGTGGAGTTGAGACGGGATATTGGACAATGTCAAGTTTTGTAATATAGAAAGCTGACCTTGGGGAATGTAGTAACAAATGTTTCATCGTAGACTCGCCAAATTCATATTAACACAGTTATACTATGGACAAAGTGAATGATATTCAGTAGCTGCTATGATGTGGCCATCGTTCATTTCCACTTATGTTTAATATCCTTAGTCCTCTGAACACTATACCCACAGAAACCGGTGGACTGACACATTTATATAAGTTTTCTTCATTCATTTCTTGATCCATATTGAAATCTTATTTTAAAAAAGTACAGATGAAATGCATTATAAAATAATCCTTACATTTGATTACAGTACATTTCAAAGCAGTTCACATAATTTTACTGTAAAGTATAGTGACTGTGCATTTAATAGGCTAACAAGGCAGCCAGTTTTTGTACAGCAATATCCCACAAGCAGCCATGAAGTGAATGACCAATTTTTTAATCCTGGGGATTGTTGGTGAGGAGATCTTTAACATATACCTGAAAAGATGGACTAGATTGGTTTAACATTTCATCCAAAGGATGGCACCTCTGATAATGCAACGCATCTTCAGTACTCTATTGGACGGTCTAGACTTGGAAGTTCAAAGTCCTGATTTGGGGGTTCAACCCACCACTATCAGACTCGGAGGTGAAAGTTATAGCACCCTTCAAACGGGCGCTGCCTTGCTTATAGTGCTTTGCTACTCTACTTTGGACCCGTGCTAACAGAGGTTTGGTACACACTTCTAGGTTATCGGGTTGCCATTACATCAGGATGTAATGTGTTGGGTGCAGGAAGTGTATCTGACATCACTTCACGAAGGAAATAATGTTAGTACCACTTCAATAACAACAATAAGTTGGAGTCCTGTAGCTCAGTGGTTAGAGCACTCGCTTTGCAAGTGAGAAACCTGAGTTCAATTCCAGGCAGAGCGAAACCTTGGGCAAGTTTCCTTACTCCACACAGAGCCTAATAATAATCCCTCCAAAAAAACAAAACAATAATAAATTGGTCATTTTCAATCTACGACTGTTTGTGGGACATTGCTGTGCGCAATTGGCTGCCGCGTTCGCCCACAAATATACAGTCAATTCACTTTACAGTGTGTTCTGTGAAGCGCTTTGGGACGTCCTCCCGACATGAAACGCGCTATATCAAATGCAAGGATTATTATTATAATAACGTACAGAAGTAATCCGTCACAAAGCACTTCACACAATTAATTGGGAACCCAAGAGGAGGGAAGATGGATGGCTGAAAGCATGTTTGAAAAGATGTATCGCAAGGCGAGTTTGAATGTGGAGAGGTTGGGAGCAAGGCAGCTGGACTCAGGGATGGAGTTCTCAAGAGTAGAGACAGATTGGCTGAAGACTTGCCTACCGATGTTGGGGGATCTGAAGCAGGTTTGTTGTTTGCTGAGCAGAGAGAGCGTCAGGAGCATTAGGCTCTTAGATGGGGCAGGAAGAGGCCATGGAGTGATTTGAAAGTGAGGACGAAACTCTTGAATTCGATTTGCTAGGAGATGGGGAGCTAATGGAGTTGAGTAGCGATGTGGTTGATGGGCTCACAGAGTCTGATGGGAGAGAGGATGTGGGCTGCGGAGTTCTGAAGGTCAGCAGCTTAGTGAGAGTGAGACGCTGGGGAATCCAGCGATGATGTGGAAATGGATGCAGATGATATCAACAAGGTGGAGCATATATATTTGGTGGAAGAGACACGGAGGAAAGAGATCTGAGGAACACTACATGTAAATGAGGGAATGGGGGTAGAAGCCATTGGAGGAGAATAAGTAAAGATGCCGGGATAGGTAAGAGTTGAATATGATAGAGTGCATAGGCGTAGAAAATAATATTAGACCCAAAATAACAATTTGGAAGTGGGACACTTTTTCACATCTTGCTTACAATGTGGCTGTTGAAACATATCTTAGTCGACTACAGTTTTCCCTGTATACTTTTAACTTCACTTTCTGTAACTGTTTATATTTTTCTTATAAAAATGAAATGTTTATGTGTACATCAAATTGAAAACCTGGGTTACCAGGGTGAAGGAGTATGAATACTAACATGATTATAAATATTCAAATTGCAGCATGCAAACAAGAAGTTGTTTTCAGTAACACTGATATTTAACAGTAAAGATCAAGGTGAAACAGTGGTTAGGCTGTCGGTGAAGGTGACTTCAATTTCAATTGTCACTTTGGAGAATTTTTATTACACATCCATATTTAACATCCATGTCTATTCATTTGTTCTTGGCAGCTGTCAGGTTACAATTTCACACCTTGATGACTGCCTTCAGTGGCTTCTCAAAGTCTCAAATCGAGCATCTATTCATTTTACTGAAGTGAATACAGACAACTGCTTTTTAATTTCAAAGTTGATCAAGTCAAACTTATTTTTTCATTCTTAAATTTAAAACATTACTTCTGATTGCTCCCTATTCTCAGTGTTCTCTATTCTTTCTCTGAATTCATGTTTTCTGTTCTTGTTTTGCATTTAAATGATGAACTTCAGTGCTTTCGTTGGTGGTTTAGACCCACATCAACTTTTTTTTACTGAAACAGGACATGAAGATGGAAGCTTGTTCTGGTTGTGAAATTAGAGTTACAAAAACAAACATCTAACTTTTTTTAACTAGCATCAACATATGATAAACATGTACACACACTGGCAATTCGCTTGTCAAAATGAATTAAGTTTAAAAGTAGCCACCTATTTGTTTCTTCTGAAAGAAGACTAAATACATAGCAAATGCCTAGTTATTTCAGAGTTCAGCACTTTCAAAACAGAATATGTAAAATTCTGCATTAAAACACCATTTGTTCCATTTCACAGCATGTTTATCTCTTATCTTGAAGAACACAAAATCCCTCCCAAAAGAATTCCAGTAAAAGTGTATGCTATTTTTTGTGAATGTACTTTAACGTTTGTTTCACATAGATTAATGTAAGGGTTGAAAAGTTGAGTAAGATAGATTAAAATTGTTTTTGAATTTACTATTGCATTCTGCTAATTTTATGATTGCTTGTGGGTAATTATTAACATTTTCATGTTTCACTGTGAACTGTTACATTTCAATACTTGCAAATTCCATGTTTAGGCTTAGGAATCAAAATTCTCTTGTCTGAAGTCACAGATTTATTTACTTCAGGTATAAATAAAAAATATTCCTTGGACTATAGTATTGGATTTGGAGACTTGCTCAATTTGAGAAAAATTTTGCTCCAAAACAATTTTGACTTCTTTAGTAGCTTAATACTTTACACTTTCTCTGGAATTCAAGGGTCCCATTATTCTAATCCTGTTTGTAATTTAGCAGGATGACAGCTGTAAAATCTTGCATTCGAAGGTCAAATTTAACAATATTGCATGAGCTATTACATAATGTCAAGTTCTGTCACAAAGCAAGCTGACCTTAGAGAATAGTTATAGTAATAAAATCATGGAGTGAATGGACACACAGTTCTTTCCCATTCTGCTTTGTTTGATGTAGTCGAGGCTTGGACTGTGTTAGGCAGTGAGAAATGAGGGCAGGAATTTGAGTGAATTTCCCCCAAAAAGAACCATAAAGGAAAGTAAAGTAAAAAATCAAGACTAAAATGAGAACATGGGAAAGTACAGGAAAACGGAATAAAAGTGAATTGCTGAAAAAAATCAATAGAAATGGAAATATTTACATTTACACTACAGATTTATCTTTTATGATCAGAATGGTTCAACAAGCAACTCTGATATTGTCTGCAAAGTAATCATGGACCAATAACCATGATGAATATTTTTGTGGTTCTAAATGTTTTGTAAAACTTAACCATGCCACTTTGAAAGGAACCATTTATGTAGCTTTTAAATTGAAGTAAATAATGGTTTGTTTTGATCTTAAAACTGTTTGTGTGGTTTATTCCCAATTCTTATTGACATATGATATGACCTAACCTCCTTCCACTGCTGACTTGGCACTAATTTTGTATTAGCTGCTTCCAGACTGAAGCTTGAGTGCCATTCACTATTTCATGCCTTTGTGGCCTGCTGGAGCTGGATGTGCATGCAAAATGCTTAGCACAGACTCAGGGCACAGTTGGACTTTTTTTGAGACAAATTGGCAAACTGGCAAATTAATAGAAAATGCAATTTGGGACACCTTCCATTAAATTTGCTCTGTTATATTAAAAAAGATGGCAGTTCTTTCCTGAGACTGGGTGTTAGTTCGTACTCAATAGATTTCAGTCCAATAATCAGACTTGCCTGATTCAGTTTTTTTTTAAATTTTATACGGATAATATCAATGTTTATTTTACGTGGATTTGCTTTTCAATTTTTAGCACGCTTCTTGACTACAAAAATGGACATGGCAGTGCTACTTGCACACAGTGTGCAGGGAATGGTGTCCATGTGACCTTACAACCTAAAAGCTAGCCATGTTTGTAGTTGAAACCATGACATAAAAAGCATTGTTTAACAATGGGAATTCACTTACCTCATTTTGGAGAAAATTTAAAAAAAAGTACTGATTCTTACCGATTAAAATAGAAACCAGCAAATTTTGCTATAGTGTATTGCATATTGTGGAGTCCTGTAGTTTTGTGGTTAGAGCACTCGCCTCGCAAGCGAGAGAACTTGGATTCGATTCCCAGGCAGTGGAAACATTAGGAAGTTTCCTTACTCCAGAAATCTATTTATCTAACAGTAAGGAGGAACCTGGTTGTTAGTTGTTTGGTGGATTGCTTTCCCAGGGGTAATAATCCCTTCAAAAAAAAAAGAAAAATGTAAAAAAAAATTATTCATTTGCTCACTGAATCCACGATTGTTTGTGGGACACTGCTTGCACAATTGGCTGCTGTGTTTTGCCCGTAAAATATACAGTTAATTCACTTTATAGTATATTATGTGACCCGCTTTGAGATGTCCTGAATACATGATAAGGCGCTATATCAAAAGCAAGGATTATTATTGTGCTCAACCATTACTGTATTTCAGGTCTGTGTGGAGGAAGTGCCTCTGGCAAAACCACTGTGGCTAACAAGATCATTGAGGCTTTGGATGTTCCCTGGGTGGTGCTTCTCTCCATGGATTCCTTCTATAAGGTAAACTGAGCTTCTCTGCAATTGGTGGTTATAACCCTTTAGATATTGCATATTTTAAAACAAGATGTTTAGCTTTGTCCAAAGAATATGTGAAGGCTGGATGAAAGTTTATATAGCTTAAATTGTAATGTTAATGGTTTGTAGACATTTGTGGATGTCACCCAAGTACTTATGGTCACCAAAGATCAGTCTTTAAGAACTTCAGTGAACCACAAATACTAACTCAATTTGTTTGTCAGCCTGGCACAGTGGTAGCACTCTCACTTCTAGTGAGTCAGAAGATTCAAGCCCCACAAAAGCACTTGGAATTGCATAGTCTAAGCTGATACTCCAATGCATTGTTGAGGAGGATGTTGAATTGTCAGGGTTGCCTTCCTTTGGATGAGATATTAAACTGAAGTCCAATCTGCTTGTTCAGGTGGATGTTAAAGATCCCATGCCACTATTCGAAAAGAGAAGGGAGTTTCTCCCGGTGTCCTGGCCAACAATCTCCCAAATAAAATTGATACTCATTTCATAGCTATGCACAACTGCCTGCTGCGTTTTTTCCCACAAAGTACACAGTCAATACATATTCCAATATATTCTGTGAAGCGCGTTGCGATGTCTCGAAGACATGATAAGGCTCTGTATCAAATGCAAGGATTATTATTATTTACAGTAGATCGTGTGAAGAACTTTGAAGACGTCTCAAAGATGTGATAAGGCACTACACCAAATTCAAAGATTATTATGATTGTAGAGTTTGAATGCGAGAAATAACTTCTTACTCACTTGCATTTGAAATTCCTCATTGATAGTTATAATATGGTGTAGGATTGTCAAAGATTTTCAGCTTGGAGTCATCTGAAACCTTTGGTGGGGGAGAAAATGGGAATATGACTCAATTGCACTGGGACAGCTGGTTGCAGAATGAGATTGAAGGAACTTTCAAGAAAGTTATTGCTGCCTTCTTGGTTGGAGTTGGATGGTTGTATGTCACGAGGAACCACAACAGCCCATTTCCAACCAAAGAACCAACCTATTTCATGAAAAAGAAAGGGGGCAAAATTGAAATTAAAACAATGTTGATTATTAAGTCAGCTCGATTCACACATCATTAGATACTTGAGGCCTAAAAATTGTTTTGGCCTTAGCCTGATTTTGTCTCTTTCCTAAGATATCCAAATTGTTTAATCTGGTTGCATTGTTTAATTTGCCTCCAATTTTAATATACTTTACAAATTTAGATTCCTTGGTTTCCATGTCATCTTCAAAATCATTTGTACCATATGTTTCCTGACACACCCCAAGGCTTACCCGTTCTTTATCTTGTCCAGCTTGAACACTTCTAGTAATTTCTTTTTCTGTTTAGAAACTAGTTTTTCAGTACCCTACTCTGTTTGCAACATCTTCAAAAAGCTCTAGCAAATTAATGAAATATGGTCTGCCCTTTGCGAAACTTGTCTAGCTGTCCTTTAAATGTGATAATCAAGAACTTAGTAATAACTCTGTTTTAATTACTTATGATCCTTCTTTCTAAAGTCAGTGTAACAAAATATTTTGGGCTGTCTTATTTCTGCAATCAGGTCTTAAACAAGGAGGAACAAGAACTAGCTGCCAAAAATGAATACAACTTCGACCACCCAGATGGATTTGATTTTGATCTCCTTATACATACATTGAGGAAGCTGAAAAAAGGAAAAAGTGTAAAAGTTCCAGTTTATGACTTCAATTCACATAGTCGGAGGAAAGATTGGGTATGGAAATACTTCTGAATATTTTACGAAAAAATTTGTTTGGGATTACATTGCATCTTTCAATTTATGTGGCTTTTCCTCCGAGTTTTAGCTTGTAATTCATAAATACCTTTAGTCTACAGAAGTAAATTCTTATTTATTTTAAGATAATTTACAGATGCACAAGAGTCTATGTGGTTGTAATGAAGAACTAGAGGAGCCCAGTTTGTTCCCTGCCCTATGCTGATTCAGCTGATCTCAACCATCCAGACAAAAGTATACTATTTATTGTTGGCTTTATCCTTACTGATCAGGAGGGGGATATCAAGTCACTACTGATGTCATTTCCAGTTTGGTGTGTAAAGCAGGAAGTGATATTGGTGGCAATCTGACGACAGAAAGTCGACTATTTAATTTCCTGTGCTTTAAAAAGGCTAACTTTTGGTTATTAGTTTGCTTCAATGTTGCTTCCTGCTTTGTGCATACTTAGCATACTGCAAATGACATCAATGGCAACCTGATTACCTGGAAGTTGTCTTTTTATAGTCCAGGAGTGAGCCAGCTCTGCGCTATGAGGTGAAACCGGCTATCGCACCTCCCTATAAATGGATTCCAACTGCAATATAACTAGTCTCCACTGCATAAGGAATGGTCACTTATATAGCTATCGTGGCCTGAAGATCTGTGCCCAAGCATCTGTCTACTTACCCAGCTTCTCCAGATCCACTTCATTCATACACATTGATTTTCCAAACTTGTCACTGCTCCTGTTAACCTGCAAATTTGAAAACCTTTGAAATGCTGTTAATTTCCAAATCACCTATAAAAATATAATCCATAGAATCCCAATACAGATCCCTGTGGCACATCGCTAGCAAATTGTTCCCAACTGGACACATTTCTGTGCATGTATCGCTTTCTACTAACTATCCATTTGATAATCCAGTTCAGTATATTGATACATATCCAATAGGCATTAAATGTATGTAGTCCTATTATGTGAAATTGTTTAACTTTCTGAAATTCAATACATTCAAGCATGACCTACACTCCTAAAGTCATGTTGCCTGATTAATCCATGTCCAAAAAGTTGAACCCCTTATAATGGCCATCCTCATACTTTCAAACAATTATATACTCAACATAAGGCTTTATAAGTACTTCAGCTCTGTTGATACTTGATGTAATTTCAGATTCTAGAAGTGGGAGAAGTTGTAACCTTCACTATTTTACATCAACCTTTATAGAAGCATAGTGCAGAATTTACAATATTATTGGTGTTTAATTTTGCATTTTGTTGATTCACAAATTTATGTTTTACAGAAAACTGTCTATGGAGCAAATGTTGTGATCTTTGAAGGAATTCTTGCCTTTGCCAACAAGGAACTTCTAAAGGTGCAGAGCAGTTTTTAATATAATAATAATAAGTTGCTTGTGTGAGCAGTGGTTGTGATTATTGGGGTGAAAATCTATTAAGAACCATAACACTATTAGAGACTGCGGGGGCTGAAAATTTCATTCATCTTATTCCAAGTCTAGTAAATGGGGCAATAGTAGGGATTATAGGGAAATGTAACAGTTTTTATGTAACAATGTAAATGTAAGAAAATTCCTTAACTTAAAAGTATGGAATTCCTTGAAAAAAGATGTTATGAAATTATAGAATTAATACAAGGCTGAGCTCCTAGAATGGGGATGGCCCATTTGTGACCCGCAAGGTCGCAATGTGTAAAATAGATACGAGGGCCACATATGGCCATCTGTTTCCTAGAATATGTTGAGGACATGACTGCTGTTCAAGCTTCCTCTTGACACAGATGTTGTTGGGAAGCCAAACCAATCATATAAGGATAGGGATGCAAACTTAATGCTTGTGAAGGGCTGAGATTGCTCACAGGCATTTTATCTAACGTGCGATGCTGCTGACAGGCTGGTCTGTACTTTGCATTGGTAGTTGTGAGCCAGGGGTAGCTGTTTTAATATGCTGGAAGGTTCAACTGGAACACCTTGCACTAGTAGCTGAGAAGCTGGAAATGAGAACTGAGGTACCTTGTTATAACATGACAGAATGATATGGAAATAAACATCATTCAAGTCTCCTGTAGGCCTCGTAACTTTTATCTCAGACAGTAAAATGATCTTGAACTACTCAATCTTGAGAACCTTCCAAGATCTAGGATTGTGTTGGCATCCTCCCGTATCTTAACATCAAAAAATATTAGTGCAATCTGTCCTTTCGTTGGAGCCTACTTAATTGTCACATAAACCAAGATATTGGCAAGGATGTTGGCAAGAATGTCATTTCTCAGATTTTCTCAACATAGAATACCATGATAGTCTGGAAGCCAAGATAAAAATATGTAAATGTTATCCCATGACAAAATGTAATTGTTGGTTCATCCCACCAATCTCAAAGGTTAAAAACTGCCACTCATTAGAATATGGGAGTTATAGCAAGTTACTGGTTGGATGCCTACGGCAGATCTTGTACGGATTTACAATTTGACACAAGGGCTGCAAAGTGATAGATACTTAGATGTTTTATTGCCTGTGATATCAGTCTTTGCCACCTCTCTCAGCAACTCTTTGACTTGCACCTTAAAAATGATTTCAGAAGGATAATCTGATTTGTGAGGTTTAGTACGGCATTAGATCATATTCTACCACATAATTGCAGAGATAGAATAAGGTTTTAGCTTTGTGATATGTTGACTGTAGAATGTAAAATACTTTGTAAAATAAAAACTCAAACTCCTTGAGTTAGTGAAACAGCAATTGTGCGCTTCCATACAGTAGTCAAACTGGATTTGACTTTGTCTTCAATCTGGATTAAGGGGATTTTCTAAATATTTTGTTCAATAGTGCTTATCTCGCGTGAAGTCAAAATTGTCTTAGAATACCTTTAATGTTTTGTTACGCTCGGCTGAAATCCAGCTCTGTTTGTGTAATTAACTGCAATGGTTTCCTAAATGATTGCTTGGGGAAGCTACCTTTCAGCTACAACAACACAATTTCATTTCAGGAGGACGTCCCAAGGCGCTGGATAGTCTGTTAAAGACCCGAGCTTGGGTCAGGATTGGGGAGAATGGAGGGCAGTGGGGGAAGCAGGGTGATCGAAAGTATGGATGAAGAGGAGGGTCTTGAGATAGGTCTTGAAGGAGGCAATGGAGGGGGCGAGGCGGAGTCTCTGTGGGATGGAGTTTCAGAGGATGGGGCAGAGTGGCAGAAGGCCCGCCTGCCAATAGTGGGGCGGGCGAAGCAGGGCACATGAAGCAGGCTGGAGCCCGCTGAGCGGAGGGAGCTGGCAGGATGGTAGGAGGTTAGGAGATCATAGAAGTAGGGGGAAGAAAGGCCATGGAGGGCTTTGAAAGTAAGGACCAGGATCTTGAACTGTATCCTCTGAGTGATGGGAAGCCAGTGGAGTCGGGCGAGGATGGGGTTGATAGGGTCACGGAGCCTGGTGCGGGAGAGGACAAGGGCTGCAGAGTTCTGGACAATCTGCAGCCTATGGAGGGAGGAGTTTGGGAGGCCAACAAGCAAGGAGTTTGCATAGTCAAGCCTCAATGTTATGAATGCGTGTATGAGGGTTCAGCAGCCTGTGGTGTGAGGTGATGTTGCGGAGGTGGGAGTAGGCAAAGCGGATGTGGGGTAGAAAGGGTAGTTGAGAGTCAAACAAAACCCCAAGGTTCCAGACTGGCTTAGCAAGGTGGAGTGTGCAACCATGGATGGTGATGCTGTCAGCACCTGAGGTGTGGAAGCGCTGACGGGAGCCAATCAGGAGAGCCTTGGTCTTGTTGACGTTCAACTGAAGAAAGTTAGCTCTCATCCAGGACTTGATGTCTGACAGATATTCTGTCAGGGCGGCAGTGGTCCTGGAGTCGAGGGTGGTGGCAGAGAGAGTTGGATGTCATCCGCATACATTTGGAAGTTGACCCCATGTCTACGGATGGTGTCACCAAGGGGGAGCATATAGATATAAAGACCAAGGACAGACCCCTGAGGTACGCTGCAGGAGAACGTGGAGAGGCGATGGATGAAGATAGAGTGGTCAACGGCATCAAAGGTAGCAGAGAGGTCAAGGAGGAAGAGGAGACAGAGGGAGCCCTGGTCGCAGATGGACATCAGCGACATGGAAACCCGATTGGAGGGGTTCGTAAAGGGAATGGCAGGAGAGGAAGGAGCAAACCTGGGAAGCAACGACTCATTCCAGGACCTTGGAGAGGAACGGGAGATGGGGCGGTAGTTTGAGAACAGGAATGGGTTCTGGGAGGTTTTTTTAATGATAGGAATAATGATGGCTGTTTTTAAAAGGGTGGGAGCTGTGCCAGAAGACAGGGAGAGGTTTATGATGTCTGTGAGTAGAGGGGCAAGGAGTTGGAACTGGGAGGTAAGGAGAGGGATAGGGATGGGTTGAGGGAGCAGGTGGTTGGTTTCATGCGGATATAGTGGTGGTGAAAGAGGAGCGGGAGACGGGCTCGAAGGTGTAGAGGAGGGATGGGTAGGAGCCGGGTTGTGAGAGGAGATGGGGAGGGAGTAGTAGACGAAAGGGCAGAGGCAACTGAGTGGATCCCCTTGACTTTGGATTCGAGGAAGTCCAGCATCGCCTCACAGTTGGCATTGAAGGTGAAGCTGGGCGAGGCGTGAGAGGGCGGCGGAAGAGCCGGTTGGTGATGGGGAAGAGGAGCCTGGGGATGTCCTTGGCCTCCAAGATTGTCTTGGAGTAGAACTGTAGAAATTGAAATCATAGCTAACAATTTATGAATACACTCTGGGAGCTGTATTCTGCCTGTTCTTCTGTAATTTCTTATTTCACAAGATCTTAATTAATATGAGCCTAAATTTCTTTTAAGAAAGTTCATAGCACTTATAACTGGAGTTAATGACATCCAGGTATTGGTTAATGGCATCTTGTTATATTTATGGATTGACCCTTATTCCTAAAATTATTTCCTAATGACGAGCTCATCTTTCTACTACAAAAATACACTTTATAGTGAAATCTGTGAAGCATTTGAGATGGCCTTCTAACATGAAAGTCACCATTATCAAATACAAACATGATTATCCTACTTTTTTTACACTGTACATCCCTCCATGGATGCACTCTACATCTCATGGAGCCAATACAGAATCTCAGCATCCTGTTCGACGTTTCACCACTGTCTCACACTGCAGGCTGCCGAGACCCTCATACACTCATTCATCACATCCAGGCTCGACTACCCAAACTCCCTGTTTGTTGACCTCCCTCTCTAGGCTGCAGTTCGTCCAGAACTCTGTAGCCCATGTCCTCTCCCGCACCAGGCTCCACGACCCTATTACCCCCACCGTCGCCCGACTCCACTGGCTTCCCATCACACAGAGGATACAGTTCAAGATCCTGGTCCTCACCTTCAAAGCCCTTCATGGTCTTGCTCCCACCTACCTCTGTGACCTCCTAAACCCCATACCAACCTATCTGCTCAGAGGGCTCCTGCCTGCTTCATGTCCCCGTGTCGCCCACCCCACCATTGGCAGGCAGGCCTTCAGCCACTCTGCCCGCACCCTTTGGAACTCCATTCTGCAGTCCCTCCACCTTGCCCCTTCCCTTGCCTCCTTCAAAACACATCTCAAGACTTCCTCTTCAACCATGCCTTTGGTTACCCTCCTTACCTCCCATCGCACTCCACCCTCCCCGATCCTGATCCCCAGCTTGGGTCTGAAACACTGATTGTCCAGTGTCTTGGAACATCCTCCCGACGTGAAAGGCCTTATACAAATATAATTTTGTTTGTTTGTACACACGTAATCTGCAGCAGCCACGACCTACATGTGGACCTGAACCATTAGCAGTGTATGTCAACAGGCCCAAATCTCATTGTGAGCCCAACAGCTCTTTTAATTTGGAGCCAAGATCTTGGGGAACGAAATCATGAAACAATTCTATTATCCACTAAGTGGATAATAAAACTAATCTCAATTGTTACCATATCATGGGCAAGAAAGCTTCATGTGAGCTAGTCCATCTATACTATGGGCATTCTTGAAGCAAATGTGTATAAATAATATTTGCAATGTTGCATAACTAACCTACTTTTACCAAATATCGTTCCCAAAATTTTGCAACAGTGTTTGCCAAAACTTGGTAGGTGAGTTAACAGCTGGAATCTGCGAGAGCCCTTCCCCTTTTTTCTCCAGCTGTAAATGTTAACTGGCACTTTTAGAACCATGTGCTGTACTTTTTATAGTGTGTAGGAATGGCGTCTGGGAACAGAGTGATTTCCCTAATATTACAGTATAAGGATTACAATATAAAGATTGTAATCTTTAGATGTCTAAACACTCATGATGACTTTGCTGCCTCCATTCTAGCCTTTGGCATAATCAGAATCTGGCATTGTGAAGGATACTATTTGAAGAATAGTGAAGATTAGGTTATGTCTTAATTTTTCAAATGTGTTTTTGGATTCAACCCATATTTTAGACAACATTTATTGAAGTGAGACAAGTGAAAACAACCATTTGTTTTGTTATAATTTAAAATTCTGTTTTGGTTTCGCACATTTGTCATTATTCTGTTTTAACCTTTTTCCCTTAATATTGATTTATTGTGGCAATGATTTATGGAAGCTGAATGTAATGAAGTTAATGAAGCGATACAAGATCTGTATGGAAATTGTTTTATTCAGTTCTATATAAAAAGTGATGGAAACCAGAGAAATGGAGTAGTGGTGTGAGTATTAAAGAGACATTATAAAAGGGAGAGGAAAATACTTCCAGCTTCAGACACATAATCCATCACATGAACCTTTTCCCCTTGTTCAACCTGTTTTGCACCACCAAAAACCTTATTTATAAGCAAAATGTTTTCTATGCTACAGCAACTGCAATGTTACAGTATCCGACTGTGCCAGCTTCGTTCTTTCCTCTCCCAGCATTCCCTCCATGAACCCCTCCAATCTGGGTTTCGTGCTGCTCACAGCACAGAGACATTTCTGGTCAAAATGACATTCTGTCAACCTGCAACCAGGGCTGTCTCTGTATCCTCGTTCTTCTTGACCTCTCGGCCGCTTCGATACCGTCAACCACTCATCTTCTCCATCACCTCCTCTCACCTCCGCCTCAACGGTTATGTCTTTGCCTGGTTCCATACCTATTTTTCCCATCTGCACTTCGTGTCAACCAACAGCTTCTCCTCTAGTCCCCGCACTGAAATGGGTGGTATCCCTCAGGGCTCTGTCCTAGGTCCCCTCCTCTTCAATCTATACATGCTCCCACTCAGTAATGTCATCCGCAGGCATTGGGTCAATTTCCACATGTATGCGGATAACACCCAACTCTATCTTGCCGACTCCACCCTCGACTCCAAGCCTGTTGATGTCATAGCAAATTGTCTGTTTGACATCAGGTCCTGAACGAGAGCCAACTTCCTCCAGCTCAATGTTGACAAGACAGAGGCCCTCCTACTTGGCTCTCGGCAGCGCCTCTGCACCTCAGCTGTTGACATTATCACTATTCATGGCTGCACTTTACACCTCACTGAGCCAATACGAAACCTCGGTGCCCTTTTCAATCCCCACATTCGTGCCGTGATCCATTCCGCCTTTCCACACCTCCGCAAGATTGCCCACCTCCACCACTGCCTCTTACCTCAGGCCGCCGAGGTCCTGATTCACACTTTCATCATGTTCCGGGTTGACTACGTCAATTGCCTGCTCGCTGGACTTCCCAACTCTTCGCTCCACAAGCTGCAGATTATTCAGATCTCTGCAGCTCGTATCCCCTCCTACACCGGGCTCTGGGGACCTATCACCCCTGTTCTTGCCCAGCTTCGCAGGTTCCCCAGTCCTCAGAAAATTAAGTACAAAACCTCATTCTTACTTTCAAGACCCTCCACCGTCTTGCTCCCCAACCACTCCGATCTCGTAACCCCATATCAACCTGTCCGCTCCTTCCGCTCGGTGGAGACCAGCCTGCTTCAGGTCCCCCACACTTCTCTCCCCACCATTGGCGGTCAGGCATTTAGTATCTCTGTCTCCACACTCTGGAACTCTACCCTGCAATCCCTCCCCCTCACCCCCTCTCTTACCTCCTTCAAGTCCAGTTTAAAGATCTTCCTCTTCGACTGTGCCTTTGGCCACCCTCCCACCCCAACCCCTCTGCCCTCCTGACCCCAACTCCCAGCTTGGGTCCAAAAACCCCTGTCTGTCCAGTGCCCCGGGACGTCTTTCCGATGTGAAGGGCACTATACAAGTGTAATTTGTTCTTGCCACGTTCAAGTCCCAACTTGTAACTGAAGTATAATATAATTGTAGCCTGCATGCTTCTCCTAAAAGCACATTTTCAAGTCTCTTGTTTTGGATGGAGGCAGGAGGAGGAAGTCTGTGTAGTGTTTGTGATGTGTGTATGTTGAAAGAGTCTGTTACTGTGTTGTTGTAGAGTGTGTTGATGACTGAGCAAAAATATGTTTTATCAAATGATCTGCAATGTGAATTGTCCCTTGTTCTAACCAAGGAAAATAATACGGAAGAATGGTGCAGAAAGAAGCAGAATTTTGTTTTTAAAAAAACGCTTTGCTATTTTGGAAATTTCTAGTACTCAAATGTTTTTGAGTACTCCGCAGCTCAGGCACTGGCAGCATCAGCACAGATGCATACTCCACCTCGGTAAGCTAGTCAGGATCCTGGGCGTCTTGTTCGACTCTCAACTGTCCTTTCTCCCCCATATCTGTGCCATAACCATTCTGTCTTCCCCCATCTCTGCAACATTGCCCGACTCCCCAACTGCCTCAACCCTCAGGCCCCCGAAACCCTCATACACGCATTTGTCACCTCAAGGCTCGACTGCGGAAACTCCCTCCTTGTTGGCCTCCACAATTCCCCTGCTCCATGTCTCCCGCCCGACCCACCCTACCATCGGCGGCAAGGCTTTCAGCCTCTTTGCCCCAACCTTTGAAACTCCATCCCACAATCCCTTTGCCTTGCTCCCTCCCTTGCCTCCTTCAAGGCATGACTCAAGACCATCCTTTTCAACTGTGCCTTCAGCCGCCCTCCCACCTCTCTGGCCTCCCTCATCCCAATCCAGGCTACCACGCTCGGGTTCTGATCTCCAACTGTTCAGCAACTTGGGACTTCCTCCCAACATGAAAGGCAATTTACAAATGTAATTTTGTTGTTGTTTCTTGCAAGCTTTAAAATGCACGTCTTCTAGACTTTCTAAGGATTTACATAACCATGGCATTGAAACTGCAGGGTTCAACTAATGGGCATAATTTACATTACATTAAATGCCACACAGTTTGATTCTCATAGATTTCATAAACTCTTGATCTATGTGTGCTCTTATATAAAATATACTTTTACTGGTAGATTTTATATAATTATGAATTATGAGCACATAATGAGTTGACAACGATACTGTCCAGATTTAAGATGAAATTCCCATTCCCAGTTTATTCATTAAGGCAACTGATGAATAAATTCAGCGCCTTGGGACGTCCTCCCGAAGTGAAAGGTGCTCTATAAATGGAATCTTGTTGTTGTTGTTGAAAAAAATTACTTTTATTAGTGATTATGTCAAGGAAAAGCTTTGAAGCGTTGTGCCAAGAGGCTATACAAGTATAAGTTTTGTTGCAATTGTTTGAATGTTTATTTTCAAAGATAATTCTTGAAACAATTTTTACAAATTAGTGCACAGAGGTTAGATTCATTTGTAATAAATTTAAATGAGTAGTTGCGCTCCACTTAGATTTGGATCATTTTTGAGCTCATAAGAATGAATATTGTAACTCAAATAATCTTGGTCCATGAATCCATGAGATTCACCCACTTTGTTTTAAAAGAACTTGCACAAAATGAGGTGATTGTCCTCCTCCCTAGCCTCCAGTTCATAGCAGTAAAAGAGCACCATTGTAGCTAGTATTACTTCGCAGTTATTTTGTCAAAGAGTGGAATCATTTAAATTGATAAGCAATGCTAGACGCCTTGGGTAGTCAATACAGTTCAGTATATAGGGAAGGGGGAAATAAGAGTTTAATACATGAATGTCCAGAAATTGTTAAATACTCGGAAGTGGAATGAAGCAGCTCAATAGGAATATATCAAAGCATACTTATGTAAGCCATTTTATGATTTGAGAATGCAGAATAAGATTAATAGCATACATGTGAGATATTTTGGAGAAAAATGAGTTTCTTTCAGGCTCGTGCATAAATGGTTAAAATTAACGTTTTTTTTGTCTTTGTGTTTTAAGCTTTTGGATATGAAGGTTTTTGTGGATACTGACTCTGACATCAGACTTGTTCGCCGCTTAAAGAGAGATATATCTGAGAGAGGTCGGGACATTGGAGGTGTCATCAAACTGTACAACAAATTTGTCAAACCTGCATTTGAACAGTACATAGAGCCTACTGTCCAGCTGGCAGACATAGTAGTTCCGAGAGGTAAGCAGCTACCTGGGCATTGTTGATTTCAGTGCTTTATGATACAAATAGAATCACTCAAAAGTAAAGGTCTTCCATATTATTTTCTAATTAAGTAAGTAGGTTTCCCTACCTGTATAATGGGGGAGCACCAGAATTTGGATCTTGATACCCTGGCCCATAAGGTAACAGCGTCTGACTGTGACAGGCTTCAGGTGGAGCACACCTTCAACTTCAAGCACCGACAAATCTGGACAGACCTCCTCAAAATCTGCCACTCCACTCTAGCCTCGGCCAAGTCGTCCTTCTACTCCAGGATAATCCTGGAGGCGAAGAACAACCCCAGGCTTCTGTTCTCTAACACATCCCGACTCCTCTGTCCCCACCGCCACCCCGCGCAGGTCATCTCCTCCAACCTTCACTGCGAGGAGATGCTGGATTTCCTTGAATCCAAAATCAAGGGAATCCGCTCCACGGTCACTGCCCCTCCAACTTCCACCTACCCCCACCCCTTCCCTCCCACACTCCAACTCCTACCCATCCTCCCCTACACACCTTCAAACCTGTTTCCCCACCCTCTGTCACCAACCTCATCTTGTCCCTGAAACCCACCACCTGCTCCCTTGACCCCATCCCCACTCCACTCCTTATCTCCCAGCTCCACCTCCTTGCCCCACTTCTCACAGACATCATCAACCTGTCCCTCTCCTCTGGCTCTGTTCCCATTCCCCTAAAAACATCACTCCCACTTTGAAAAAACCCTCCCTTGATGCGTCGCAGCTATCAAGTTACCGGCCACCGCTTGTCCTCCCACCTCAACCTTCAAGCCCCTGTCCTTGAGTGGTTTAGGTCGTACCTCTCCCACCGTCTTCATTTTGTTTCCACAAACGGCTTTTCCTCCAGCCCCCGCACTGTCTCGTGCGGTGTCCCTCAGGACTCTGTCCTCGGTCCCCTCCTCTTCACCCTCTATATGCTCCCCCTTGGTGACATCATCCGCAGACATGGGGTTAACTTCCACATGTATGCGGATGACACCCAACTCTACCTTTCCTCCTCTACCCTCAACTCCACGACCACTGATGTCCTGACAGCCTGCCTGTCCGACATCGAGTCCTGGACGAGAGACAACTTTCTTCAGCTCAACGTGCGCAAAACTGAGGTCCTCCTGATTGGCTCACGTCAGCGCCTCCGCACCTCAGGCGCTGACAGCATCAGCATCCAAGGCTGCACTCTCCACCTCTCAAAGCCATCAGGAACCTCGGCGTTCTGTTCGACCCTCATATCCGCGCCACAACTGGCACCGCCTTCCATCACCTCCAGAATATCGCCAGACTACGGCACTACCTCACCCCTCACGCTGCTGAAACTCTGGTCCACGCCTTTATCACCTCAAGGCTGGACTATGGGAACTCTCTCCTCGCCGGCATTCCCGGCACCTCCCTCCACAAGCTGCAGGTCATTCAGAACTCTGCAGCTCGTGTACTGTCCCGCACCAGGCTTCGCGACCACATCACTCCCACCCTCGCTCACCTCCACTGGCTCCCCATCCCCCAGAGGATCGAATTAAAAATCCTCATCGTCTCCTACAAGGCCATTCACGGCCTCGCTCCCTCCTATCTCTTCGACCTACTATCCCCCTACTTATCTGCCAGTACCCTCCGTTCCTCTGGCTCCGGTCTGCTCCACATCCCCGCCCTAAACACCCTACCATCGGTGTCCGGGCCTTCAGCCTCTCAGCGCCTAGGCTCTGGAACTCCATCCCCCAGTGCCTTTGCCTTGCTTCCTCCCTTTCCTCCTTCAAGGCCGGTCTCGACCTTTCTCTTCGACCGTGCCTTCAGCTCCCCTCTCAACTCTCTACCCCCTCCTCTCTCCCTCCCTTCCCTCCCCTCACCCTGACCATTTCCCCCCTGCTCGGGTCCTGACCCAACTGTCTAGCGCCTTGGGATGTCCTCCTGAGGTGAAAGGCGCTCTATAAATGAAATCTTGTTGTTGTTGTGATGCAGGCACTTTGAAGCTGTTTATCTGTACCGACGTACTGGATAACACAACAGGTCTGTCTTTTACCAGCAACCAACTGTTTGGTAGTGAGGCTAAAAGCCTAGGACCTTTACATCTGTATTAAGTCTACTTGGGACATCTACCATTGCCACAAGTGATGAGTCAATTTCTACCACCTCTAGAGTCTTGCCCATTTGTTCATACACTATTCAGTACATGAGCGTATCTATCATTCCTCTCACCATCTCGAGATAAATTGACCGTTGACTTCATAGTTATTTGTGGCACTATGCTGTACTTAAGTTGGCTGCCATATACGTCCACAAAATTCATTCACTACCCTTATACCCTTACACCTGTATGTTCTCTGGACATGTAAAAGTTTCAATATTAACCTTCATAGCCAATATTAATAGCTCAACTTTATGTTGCAATTGAGGACTAAAGGGTTTCTAGACATTTATTACCAATGTTGTTGATGTTCTTATTTGTGTACCAACATGCTTTGCTTTCAACCTTTTTTTCTCCATAGTTCCAAGAATATACAGTACAGTGGGCTTCAAGTTAACAGAATTTGTAGCTTCAGACATTCATTGTGTGCAAAGGAAGGTATAAAAATGCAAATTGTTATGAAAATTAGGCATTTATAGGTATGGTACTGTCGACCTAACCCATTGCTCAGTTCTTTAATTTTGAGCAAATCCTAGAAAAAAATCGTTGTTTGCTCTCTTTGATTTGCTAGGTGGAGAAAATTTTGTTGCACTGGACCTGATTGTCCAGCATGTACACAGTCAGCTGGAAAAGGTAGGTGTGTCTTTTGTATGTTATTTGAAAGTAGTAATTTTTGTAAATATACTCATCCTTGATAAAGATGCTAATTGATTTGCATTTGTTTTATACATTTTTGTTAGTTTTGAACAATTTACAGTTATTTCTTAGACGTAATTATATTGTTCCATTAATTCATGTGTTTGCCATGAGTGTACGAAACACTTCTTTAGTAATGCACACATGCTTCTGCACATGGATTCTTCTGATGATGCAACACATCTACAAGTTTACTTCATGTAAAACACATTCCACAGAAGATAGAAATGTTCTACACAGAAGCGGGGCATTTGGTTCATCTTGTCTGATATTGCATATACTTGCCACATACAACTTGAATGTCATTCCCTTTGTGTTGAATGCCCAGAGGATGTGAAGTCAATTTCAGAGATATAAACAGCATTTTATAAATTCTCAGTTTTTTCAGCGTTTAGTGGTAGTGCCCTCATATGTCATGAGGAACAAGAGTAAGTCTGTCAAACCTGCTGTTAGATTATCTCATTTCCCCATTTTCGCCCTATATTAATTTAATTTCCTTCTTGAGTATCTATCTCGTTTAATAGATGTTGCATCTGATACAGACATGATGGACCAAATGTTGATCTTCTGTTCGCTGCCTGGAACCTTCCGGGCAGTCCATGGCATGTTCACAGTACCTGATTCTAAGCAACATTTTGACCATTACACATTTATTTCAACTAATCAAATGTAATCAATTTGTCTTTTGAGAAATCTATGACCTATTTGGAATTGATGACCATGGTAAAGTGTCCAAAGCAAGTTGTCTAATGCTAACTAGTCCACATGAAGCCTTTAAAATTGCTGACCAATACCGTAATACATTCTTATTGCTCAATCAATTATGAGTACCAAATCTTTGAATAGACTGTTGCATCATCATATGTTACCTTAATCCAGAAGCTGCTGCTAAAACTTTTAAAAAGCCATATGAATTCATGGATTTAGAGTTCATCACTTTCCATCTGTTGAATTAAAGATTCATACATTTAATATTTACAAATTAATAGTTACAATATAGTTTTTGCTACTGTACCCTAGTATCTGAGCATTTATGAGTAAATAGAGCGATGCCTACAATATTGTAATCTTTACAATGAATTAATTCAGATATTATCAGTTATATCTGGTGTGTGAAGGTTTATGCAAAGAATACAGGGCATTTTTCTTAGCATCTTCCTTATTAAAAAAGAATACTAGGTTAGACATGTAAAATCAAAGTCGTTTTTCATATTTTCATTCATTAATTTTTTAAAAGTCAGCAAATAAATCGTTAGCATTTGAACTATAATCACGTGCCTCGGATCCACATAAAAATTACTGCTTTCCCTCTCCACAAGACTTTTCAATCTTATCTGCTGACAGTGCAGAGTGATCATGCAAACAATATAACTACAATACAACAAACCTGAAAGATATATTTTACAAATTATCAATTGCCCAGTGACTCACTGTTCCTTTACTGAAATGAAAATGACTTGCCCCCAGGTTTCTGTGAAAGTTCCTCTGCTCTGATCATATCACTAGGATATTCATACTGATAGTCCAAGGTGACTTGGCTGGGTATTTTTTCTTCTCATAGGTTTGCCCCTGCCCTCCATGTGATAACCAGCTGAGATCAGATACTCCCTGATGAACAGCAAAAGTGCTCTTTATACTAATGGTGGTTGAAATTAGATATTCTCTACCACATTCTGTAGTTGAGCAGAGTCCAGAAATTATTTTGAAGTGAAATTAGATAAATGCTTGAAAAAGAATTATTAAAGGGTTTGAAGAGCAAGCAGGAGAGTGAGAGTAGATTGGCTCATGTGTGCCAGAAGGGGTGTAGGGGGAGAAACACCAGTGCAGATTTGACACCAAATAACTTGTTTCTGTGGTTCTATATGATATGAGCACTTTGATGCAGCCCTGTATCCCACGGAAAGATTTTTTTTCTGTCAGTCGGGTGTCTGACAAATGCAGAAACCCATCACCGTGCTCAAGCGTATCCAAACCAAACTGAGAATTCCATGCATCCCACCTACGCGTGGAAATACCAGAGATAGATCGTTGGAATGGAATAAAATTCAAAAGTCTAGTGGTCAGAGCACGCAGTGATTTTTATGCGGATCCTAGGCACAGGACTGTATAGATTGAACTAAATATGGACTAAATGAATCAATGATGGAAAAATAGTAAACTTAAGTAACTTTATTTTTTAACAATGGTGTATTCTTACCATGACTATAATCTGGATTTTTTGATTATTGAATGCTATCTGCAGCTTTAAAAAGGATATGTGTTTGGAATTTACTTTTGAAATGTGATTATTTGAAACCTCTGCAAAAAAACTAACTTCTGAAAATTCTGTCATACTGAATGGAGTAAAATATAATCTGAAGAATGTAAGTAATTCTGGGACAGCTTTCAATTCGCCATCTAGCCAAAAGCTTCTGTATTTCGGTGTGATTTTAAATTATTATGTAATAATACATCATAAGGATAATTTTAATTGAGGAATATTGTAAGACAAATGCCCTCCCTACTTACATATTGTCCATCCAAAATGGAAGTGATGATGGGTTTCATTCATGGCAAAATGCACAGCGAATGTATTTTTGTACTTGTAACAGTTACAGCTTGATATTTACTGTTACCGCTAATGAGAATGACCGTTTCATTTTTATTTCTTTCCTCCCATGTGTGATAATGAAATACTTGCTAAATCCTGAACGAATTTTCTGTAATCACCACAGCGTGAAATCACAGTAAGGTATGACAAGCAGAGCAAAGTTTTTAGTTTGCAGAAAGGGAAAGGGGGCATGATGAGACTACAGGCATCACTGATGGCATTTCAAAAAGAGCCACATTTTATCTCAATAGAGCCTGCTTGAATACACTTGTTTCAAATTAGTGGAAATTCATAGATACTTACCATGATCCAATTGGACTGTGCCTCTGTCTGCTCTGGTTTCAACCCCTCCCCCCATTCCTTTTCATAGTTAAACTACCCAATATTTAGATGCATAGAGCCAAATACTAGTTATTGCAATGGTATATTTTCAACCACCAATTATGCTTTTGTACTCAGATTTCACAAATCGGATATGCTGAATATCCTGAACAGCAGTATTCTATGCACTGATTTAAAAATACAGTAATTCTTTGAATATACAACCCATTCAGGATTGAAAACCTTTAGGTGTTTTGTTTCTTATAATATGCTTACAATTTCGGAAATGTCTAAGGGTGAATATGAATATACAACATTTGAGTATTTTATTTTGTTGTATTCATGAAATAAAAGGGTTGTTATAATGATTCTATTGCAGCGATACTGCTGTGCCGCTCAGTATTAATTGTAAAGGCAATTTAATTATAAAGGTAATTTAATTTTGTTTAGTGTGAAATATCAGAAATAATCTGAAATTGCAAAATGCCATCAATACAACTAGTATTTGTTTTGTGTCCAAAAATCATTTAGATAAGTGAATGTTTTACTGTAGCTTTTCAATGAAATACTTTCTAATAGAACGCACCTTGTTTATGGCTTCCTTCATTTGATAAATGACCATACAAAGCAGACCCTCTTCTTTATGATAAGCTTTTGGTATGGCACTCAAACAGGATTATAGAGACTACTGAATATGAAAGAAGTCTCATCTGAAAGCCAGCAACTGGAAAATATCCCTGTCTCCACCCAGGTTTGGTCAGAGTTCATGAAACTGCCAGATTTTTAAAAAGTCATCTCATTTACTACACTTGGCTGGTTGTGCTGCCTCTTCCATCACCTTTTCTCTGATCGTTTCTTACTCAAAAGCTCAGTCGAGCCCGTATTGGTAGAATCTCCTGTTCATTGTTTGAAAATGAATTTTGGACAACTCCCTATTTCTTTTTCAATACATATGTGCTTTTCTTTGTGCTAGCATCTAATATAGATGTCTTCTCTTTCTGTCCATGAATATTTCACCAATTGTCTCGCTTTGAATAATTCTGAACTGAACAGAGGAAACTTCGCTGGGATATGTGAGGACAACTTGTGTATTTTTGAGTTTTGTTTTCAACTTTTGATGTTATTTGCAGTTAATTTGATTTTTCCCTTGCGTGGCTTCTTTGCATTTCAGTTTTTTTTTGTCTTGGCTTTCCTCACAACTAGTTTAAAACAGCTGAAATGTTTTGGATTAACAAACTGGGTGAACAACAAGTTATTTGGATGTATGTGAAATGCAACTTGAAGATTTTCTGTATTCATCTTGTTAAAAACAATTAAATAAAATAGAAAATATCTTCATTGTTTCACGAAATAAAATAAACATTTAGTGTGAATATTGATTCTATTAGCTTTTAGATATTCCACCATTTCTACTGTGAGCTCCTGAAAAGGAACATCCTGGTCAAAGTATATTAATGAGAGCCTCAGTATTTGGATGCTAATGAAAAACTAAATTTTTCCTTAGACAGAGTTGTCTTCTTGTATTGCTGCAATTCATTTAGTGCATATACATGAATAGAAGCTGTCCCTTTCTCATTGGCTGTGGACCACCAGAAAACTTTTCTTATGAAGCACACCTGAGTGCTGAAATCTAGATAAACATGCACAATAATTATGCAGTATTGTTTCTTTTAAAGAATCCTAATGGCAAAAGTTTTATTATCTCCTACATTTGATATTTCTTGTCAATTTTCCCCTCCTGAAAGTAATGGCTTGTGTTGAGATACAGTTGCACTGGCAGCATCAAGTGACTAGCCACTGTTCATATGTGAATCTAGCTGATGAGCATTACAGCTGTACTTGTCCTTCCTATCTCCACCCTCCACAAACTGAGTTCATCCCAAATTCTACAGACCGTATTCACTCTTGCACCAGCATCTACATACCCATTCTCGCTAGGTTTTGTAGCCTTCCACTAGCCCAGCAGATCAACTTTTAATCCTGATTTTGACCTTTGAATTCCTTCAAAAACTTGTCCTTCCCTTACCCTACTCCCTGTTCCTCTGATCTGGTCTATTGCTCATTCTTTATTCTCTCCATATTGCAACTGAAGACAGAGACTTCTTTCACTAGACTGCTGCCCACCGGAACTCTCTTCCAAAATTGTTTTGCTTCGCTTCCTCTCTCCCTTGCTTTCAAGACCATCTTTAAAATGTTTTCCTTTTAATGTGCTTTGGTCAACTTTCCTTTCTATGTGCTCAGTGCTCCTTTTCATAATTATTAAGCACTTTAAGACATTAATTTTATATGAAAGGTGCTGTGGAATTACAAGTTTTTTTTATTATTTTCCCTTCTATGGCCTATATAGGAAATTCCCTTTGAGATGTTTCCCTTTTTAGCTTATCCTTAGTGTACGACAGTTAGAAGTGAATAATTCTTAAGAATAACAAAATATAATTGTCATTATTACTTTTTCAATTTTTTTTTACTTGATTTCAATTAGACATTGGATTTCATCCTAAAGTAGTACAGGAATAAAATAACTTGTGTGATGGGGAATATATTTAAACACCATCCATCATTCACTGAAGAATAGGCGGAGATGCAACAGTTTATTAAGATGGAGAAATAAAGCAAAGGGAATCCAAACTAAAATTGTTACACAAATTGTACATATCCTTTGCTTGTGTGCAAATGATCAGTCACTTATATCCCCCTGTACCTCATATCAAGTCAAAAAAAAAATCTCAAATCATTGGAGTTCCTGCGCAAACAGAGCAGTTTAGAAAAATGCAACATGATCTGAAATCTAGCTTGTAGGCGTAAAGCATATGTAGTTTATTTTCTATTTGTGCATTTTAACAGTATACATTTTATTTCCTGTGGAGCATGAGTAGCACTGTAACTGATCATCTGTTTGATCTTATTTAACACCGGTAGTCAACATTTCAGTAATTTGCATGAAAAAAATCGTAATGGGTTCTAATGGTGAAAATAATTTAAAAACAAATTTAATGCACTGCAAGGATAATGCACAAATGCATTTTGATTGATTGGTTAAATGTTATGTCAGTCCAATTTGTGTTGTATGATTGTTATTCCTACACAATATGAAAGAAATTGAAATATGAATTAAAACTTGAGGTATATTGAAAGGAAAGCATAATTGCATTATATTTCTATAATTATCTAAGAAATATATATCAGCAAATAAGATGCATTCAATGTCTGCAGTTAGTGTACATTATGAATGCATGTTTCTAACATTATTATTCAAGTAATGTGTACAGTTTCAGCAGACTGACTACTTTCTGTGTATTAAACAAAAGGAGGACCTAAACCTCTGATGATCTTCAGAAAGTCTAGAAAATACATAGTCAATCCACTTTACAGTATATTTGGTGAAACGCTTTGAAATGACTCAACGATATGATTAGGTGCTATATCAAATCCAAGGATTATTATTAGTCAAATCGGTGTTCATTGTCAAGATACTCATTCGATTTTTGTATTATAAAGATCTGGGATGCTGAGAAGGAAATAATTTCATAGCTATCTTAACTACTTCATCCTCAGTATTAAAGTTAGAAATGTCATGCTTTAATTAATGAAGACATCAGAATGGGTCTTTTATTACTTCAAAATTTCATTGGTGTGAGGTTTAATCAGATTATACGTTTGAGTGAAGGACATTGTTTTTTTTCCCCATTGTGTTGAATGATGTCACAATAATTATCCCTTTTGTGGCTTTCTTATAATAACTACGTAAAACCTCTGCAATTAATTAACAGAAAAGTGATAGGTTTTCCAAAAACACTTACTACAGTGTTCCTGATGTATGTGCACTGTTGAAATTGAAACACTTGAAGTTTCAAGTGTTTTTTCAAATAGGTGGACCAGCAAAAATGCATGGTCCAGGTTATGTGGGATTTTGATCATTGCTATTTATTTGACCTATTACCTGGTTACGTAGAATTTCTGGGGAAAATGCATAGTACAGAAATCTGTGGAGTCCTGTAGCTCAGTGGTTAGAGCACTCGCTTTGCAAGCGAGAGAACTGAGTTCAATTCCATGCAGGGCGAAACCTTGGGCAAGTTTCCTTACTCCACACGCCTAATAATAATCCCTCCAAAAACCAAAAAAAACAATAATTAAATTGGTCATTTTCAATCTACGACTGTTTGTGGGACATTGCTGTGCGCAATTGGCTGCCGCGTTCGCACACAAATATACAGTCAACTCACTTTACAGTGTGTTCTGTGAAGCGCTTTGGGACGTCCTCCCGACGTGAAAAGCGCTATATCAAATGCAAGGATTATTATTATTATTATTATTATCTGATTTAATCAGCCACTGTCTGAGCTGGTCAAAATTGATGATTTGTCAAATTGGGTGATTTGTACCAGTGAGTGCATCCTTTTTAAAAAAAAAATTTTTTTTTAAAAATCTGTCACTGTGAGATATAGCCAATGATCTTGTGTGTATCTATAAAATAAAGCATAATTATTGCAGTTTATTGGATTTTTTCATATACAATGAGCTTTTGTGGTGGTGTTAAGAATCTAATATTGTAAGTTTTAAGTTTTAAGCAACCTTTACTGGCAATTCTTAAAACTAATGCATCTCACACCAAACTACAATTTGAATACAATGAATTATGAGGTTAAAACTTATTATACATCTGCTTTGTTTTTCATTTTAATAGTTCATATTGAAAAATGTAGTATCCACAAACCTACCATGTCATTTCAACACAAACATGCTGTTAGTTGGAACAGCAGAAGTTGTGGGTTACTCTTTTAGCAGTCTTTTAATAGTTTGCTAACTACAAGACTTAATTTTGAACTGGTGCAAGAATGATTGTATTGTGCTGTAGAGTCAAAACTTTACCCTGGTGTTAACATATTTCTTATCACTACAGAGCAGCACTGGCATCTGCCCATCAAGGACAACCTCTACCAGACAAGCTTAGTGTGCTTGAGAGTACTCCACAGGTTAGAGGGATGCACACCATTATCAGGTAATGTAAACAATTAATGGTATTATTGGGTAATTTTAGTTTGGAATGAATGGCAAGATAAAGGATATGCAACAATTAGAGCACATCACACCACAAGGAAGGCAAATAAGATTTATTCATGTTCAAATTTAAGCACACTTTATTGTAGGAATAAACTTGTCATTGGAGTTCTGGGCAGATCTATGGCTCAATTATCTACAAGAAAATGGTGAGAGAAAAGAAGAGGATAAAATATTCTTTATCTCATCTGCTCATTCAAGTGCATACACTAATTCTGCAGTTGAATGTGAGGTCCAACCTATTCGCCTCGCCCCCTCTCTTCCTATTTTCAGGTCTCTACTTAAGACCTGTCTTTTCGACCGCGCCTTTGGTCACCTTCCTCCCCCTCCCCCTGGCTCAGCCCCGGAATCCGTTACTGTGAAGCGCTCTGAGACGCCATCTGGCGTGGAGGGCGCGATATAAATCCAAGTTGTTATTGTTGTATGAGACTTATTGTTTTTATTGTGCATGTCCCAATGTGAAGTTGGGCCTGTTGACATTATAGATAATTGAATAGGATTGCCATAATTTCAAATTTTTCTTTAAGTAATTTTCCATGTACATATCAACGTGTTTTTTAAAACTTTAACTAGTTATCTTGCGGAAAAATACAACATTAATTTTCAAGCTTGCTTTCTGTAAGTTTCTTTTAGTTTCAAATTTTATTTTCCAATTACTTTATTGACTAATAAGAAGATTTATTCAGAGAAATTTGTTGGTGCATAAGATACTATCTAACTTTCTAAGGTTTAATAAATAACTTAAATTTTACAAATCCCCGAAGTTCACCTTTATTTGCAGATACAAGGTATATGTATTTGTGGAGTCCTGTAGCTCAGTGGTTAGAGTACTCACTTTGCAAGCGAGAAACCTGAGTTCAATTCCAGGCAGAGGGCGAAACCTTGGGCAAGTTTCCTTACTCCACACGTCTAATAATAATCCCTCCAAAATAAACAAAACAATAATAAAAATTGGTCATTTTCAATCTACGACTGTTTGTGGGACACTGCTGTGCGCAATTGGCTGCCGCATTTGCCCACAAATATGCAGTCAATTCACTTTATAGTATATTCTGTGAAGCGCTTTGGGACGTTTAGAAGACGTGAAAAGCGCTATATCAAATGCAAGGATTATTATTATTTTATTATATTTTGTCTTTCACAAAATTTCATTTTATTAAGGTTAGGAAGAAGCGCTGTTTCTGCCTATAGAATTTTCTAGTAAAGTTATTTAGCATGTTATTTCCTAATAAATGTTGAGTAATGATGGTAGTCATTAATCTTTTACATGACGGTTTCTTCATTCAATGGTAGAAAAATCACTGACTGTCAGTCCAGTGCCGCTTACTGGAATAAAAAATTGCCTGACCTAAAAATAACCACTCAACTTCATGGTATTTATTCAAAAATACAAATTCTGCAATACCATCATGCAACCTGAGTTCAGATGATTTATGAAGCACTTAAGCCTTCTTGCTGCAGTTTATGATGTCTCTCAAACCACTCAATTAGATTAATGCATTTTCTCATTCCATTGTTTTCTGTAGAACTAAATTAGTTGTCCTTTTTGCTTTAATTTGATAATAGATACATTAATTGAGTGTTTTATACCATAGTTATTTTCAGTATGGTATAAGACTTTCATTTAAAATAGACAAAAATAACTCTGTAATTGTTATGATTAATCCATTAGAAAATCTGATATGGTACAACTAATATTTTAGTAATTACACTGCATGTATATATTGGGTTTTTGATTATTTCTGGTCTATTGCGCAGGAATAAGGATACAAGTCGAGATGAATTTATCTTTTACTCAAAAAGATTAATGAGGCTGCTGATTGAGCATGCTCTCTCCTTCCTACCACTCAAGGCAAGTGTGCTTATTATCCCTTTCAGTGACTTCTAGATTTTACATTTTATTCTGATATCCTTGCATTCATTTGAAGATTACTTGTGTGAGATACAGTTAAACAGCAGCTTGGTAGCTTGTGCTTTGCAAGCACCTGTCTGTGCTATCCTTCAATCCTACAAGGTGTAAAACTTGGATTTAGAATGAATCAATCACAAGATTAGTTTGGATGAAGAAGGTTCTTTGTCCTATCCAATGTCACCCTTTCAGACCACCTATCCTGTTGTCCCCCATTACAGCATCAAGCTGCTTTTTAAATGAGTCCAGCGTCCTGATTTCATTCACCTTTTCTGGATGCCTGTTCCAGTCATTGATTACCATCTGAGTAGGTTATCTGTCCTGAAATTGCTCTTTACAGCTCTAAAACTACCCTTACATGTTATCTCTCTCTCTATACCGTAAATCAAGATATATTCAATCAAGAAAAAAATATAAACATACTGCTGATTGAATACAGACTTACCTAGAACGGTGCGAGTGTTTGGGGGGCTGCTACTTGATGGGGGTTCACAAGTTGTCCGGTCTATTTTTTTCTGGCAGTCTTAATAGCAACGAAATGGGGATTGTGAGCACATGGTACATTCCATTATTGTACCATATAATGGTAGGTGGCTACCAGTCATAACTGAATGTTAGTTTGTGTAGATTATGGAGACTGAGTGGAAGACAAAATTGGCATCACTATGTTGGGAAGAGTGAGACTATTAAGGAGAAAGGCAGAGAGAATAAGGTTTAAAAGGGGTCCTCTCTATGTTAACATTAGTCTAGATTTGTAGCATGAAGATGCAAAGCCCTTGTTAGTACAACTGTTTTTAATTGACTATCATCTGATTTTCAAAGTATTTATTTTTAAAACTGATTATTCATTTTCTTTATTTTTTACATAAATATTTGTAGCCTGTTACAGTGGAAACGCCTCAGGGAGAACTATATGAAGGAAAACGATTTGGTGGGAAAAGGGTGAGTTTGATACCGATTCTGATCAATTTGAACATTATTATGAAAAAAAATTGTAGACATGCAAAGCATCAATCCTACCTATAGTTATTGCTAATAATGAGTTAGTGATTGCCATTATATCAGTTCCATGGGGGGTTGCATTGTAGTTTTTCACTTGTTGTTGCTCATGTTTGTCACCAGTTCCATGATTTTATTCTTCTCCCACTCTGTAGAATGAGAGCCAGACTGAGACTCATGTCCTTTCCCACACCAAGCTCTGTGAGCCAATCACTCCAGTCCTCACTTGGCTTCACAGGCTCCCCAGAGGATTGAGTTCAAGATCCTTGTCCTCACTTTTGAAGTCCTCCACGGCCTTCCTCACTCTCCCTCTGCGACCTGCTAAAATCTTACCACCTTACCTGATCCTTCCACTCAGCAGGCACTGGCCTGCTCCATGACTCTCTGCCGCCTCATCAGCGGTCGAGTCATCAACCTCTCTGCCCCTACCCTCTGGAACTCCATTTCGGGGTCGCGTCGCCTCGCCCCCTCCCTTGCCTCCTTCAAGACTTGTCTCAAAGCCTTCCTCTTTGATCGTGCCTTTGGTCATCTTCCCACCCCCAAACTCCTTGCTCCACACCCTTCTTGAATTCAACCTCCAGCTTGCGTGCAAACGCGTCACTGTCCAGTACATTGGGACGTCCTTTCAATGTGAAAAATGCTATATAAATGCAATTTGTTGTTGCTGTCTTAATAGAAATGTACTGTATAAGGTAAAAGAGTACATACTGAGTAATGAGCTTAACACTGTACAAAACACGGCATCAGTCATTGAATTCTCATTTCTATTTCACTATGGTGACAGGTTAATTTGTAGCTCATTTCTTTTGTGGAACCTTCATTAATAGAGAGATATGAAGCATTACATCATCTGAAATAAAGTATGGAAACTGGACAGCTCTGCATGGTCATATTTTGCTTTTTTTTATATTTTCCTTGAGGAAAAACTTTGCAGAAATATAATGAAATTCTCAGTTTGATGTAAACCATTATGTAACCTAGGGTTTTTCATGCATCCAGTATTAACCAAAAAGCTCCTTCAGTTTTTTTTGCTGTCAGGATGTTATGGATTTCTACTGCCGTTTGACAACATGAAGTTATACATGGAATTTTCTCATTAAAGTGAATTTTCATGTTGCTATAGTTCGCAACAAGAGGAATTTACTTCACCCCAAAAAACATAACAGTCATGGTGATGCTGGAATATTCAGACAGGTTTCTGTTTCAACTAAAGTAGGGAACACAAGACAGGTTATTTGTAATCCAAAATTGTAATTGGTCTATTGAGTCAAGCAGGAAAAGGTGGAGAAGTTTCTAATTATTTCTCTAAATCTAAAAAGGATATGGGAAGGAGTAAGGAATGGGTGAAGACCTGTCTTGAGTATAAGCACTAGCATGGACTGGTTGAGCTGAGTGACCTTTTCTGTGCTGTACATTCTTTGTAATCTTTGTAAATATTTTCTTCTACAGGGTGACCAAAAGTCATGATACGATGTCTTAAAGAAATTTGGATATATATTATTTTTAGATAGTAAAGGTAGACATCACGACTTTTGGTCACCCAGTAGTTCATTGAATGGCTAAAATTAATAATTCCAGCATTACATCCTTTTTTTATTGTCAACTACCATTTTAGTTTGACATAATAAGAGCACCATTTTGTGTTTATGTGTCATCCTTAAACGATTAGAAAAAAACATTTTATCTTAAAGCTGCATTCATTGATAGTGTTTGAAATGATTAGCATCTGCAATAATTTTATCACCATATTCGGGATTGAAATAAAGAACTATTTTGAACTCCTTAGATAACTGGAGTCTCTATTCTTCGCGCTGGTGAAACAATGGAGCAAGCACTGACAGCAGTGTGTAAGGATATCAGACTAGGGAAGATTCTCATTCAAACAAACCATGATACAGGAGAACCTGAGGTATGTATTAGCACACTAAACAGTATATTAGTCACATATTCTAAAGAGTATACTAGTTACTGTTAACTAACAACATCTAGGGCAGTGCAGCTTAATCAATATCAGCTCTATTGGTTAACTGTGCGACATAAACCAAGTCTTGACTTCAAAGCACTGATAAGCTTCCTGCTGTTTGCTGGTTTGGGCTACCCTACTTGTTAGCTGCTGCTGAGTGGGAAAGAATTTCAACACCTTTCCCCATGACAAGTCTACCTCGCTCATTCCCGTTGTTGAGCCAGACAGGCTGATCAATTAACAGTGCTCTGGAGCGCTCTCTGTCTCAGGTATTGGATTACATAATCCACAGAGAGTTGGCTCAACTCTTTCCCTTCATCCTCATGTACTAGTTGGGCCCAAATAACTTATTTCTGTGCTGTAACATTCTATGTAATTAAACAGGCAGTCTCTCAATAGAGATGGCCATCACAGTCATGATGGAGATGGTTCTACTCCCAAAGAATTCCTGCTTTCCTCTATTTAATACTCGGGGTGCCGTTGGTTATGCATGTCTCAGAAGGATGAAAATTACCTTGCATTTTTGTGACTAATATACTCTTGTCTTACTTCACCCAGCTCCATTATCTTCGGTTACCAAAGGATATCAGTGAGGATTATGTAATACTCATGGACAGTACAGTATCAACAGGAGCTGCTGCTATGATGGCAGTTCGAGTCCTTTTGGTGAGTAACCAGTTGCACAAAAAGAGTGTGGATTGCTGTCTGTATTAAGTATGATACATCACCTGTGGCAAAACAAATTGCAATATTTAGTGATAATGATTATGAGAAAGATCTCATTCTAACTAGCAAATTGTAGGTAGTTTATTTCTGTAAATTGTTTGAACCATTCTGCTTGATGACTGGACACATGAGAGACTGAATATACTACAAAGCATGTGAATCTTTTTTAAAATAAAGTGGCTTGTTTTCATTAATGGAAATGATTGGAAACTAATTATGTACATGTAATACTTTATATATAATGTAATAATCCTTGCATTTGATGTGGCGTCTTATCACGTCTTTGAGACCTCTTAAAGCGCCTTCACAGCTGTAAAATGACTGTATTTTGTGGGGGAAACGTAAGAGATAAAGCTATCATTTTGTAGGCTTTATTTACAATTATTTTTTTATTGCTATTTCAGGATCATGATGTACAAGAGGATAAAATCTTTCTGATCTCGCTGCTAATGGCTGAGATGGGTGTGCATTCTGTTGCTTATGCTTTTCCTAAGGTCAATATCATCACAACAGCAGTGGACAAGAAAGTAAATGATGAATTCCATATAATTCCAGGAATAGGTAAGGTATTCTTGAGCTTTTGTGATTATTGTTAGAAAGAAGCTAAATGGTATTAATTTTATTCACCTTTCCTTCAAAATATAAAAAATCGTGTGATGGCTCACTTAAAATTATTGCTGGACTGACTAGTCATTTTCTCTCTATTAAAACTGGGTTTACATTGAAGGCTAGAGCCTTGTTTTTTCTAATTTAATTGTTCTGATATTGGGGTCTAATTTGTAATATTTGTAAACTGGATTGAATGAAGTGGATAATGAATTTTATATGGGGGATTGTTGGCCATAACATCAGGAGAAATATCTCCTTTTGAAGAGTGCCATGAGCTCTTTAATGTCCACCTGAATGAGGATATGCGATCTCAGTTGAATGTCTTATCCGAAGAACAGCACCTCCATCAATGCAGAACGTTTCCCAGCATTGCATTGGAGTGTAAGCCAAAGTCTCAGCATAGGGCTTTGCAATGGGTATGATACAATATCCGTGTAAGGATTATTATGTAATGATTCAATCTGGACTCATAATTAGAAATATTACTTGTGCTGGTCAAAGAGAATGACATTAGCGAAATATTAGTGAAATAATGCTTGTGGTAATCATTGATCTTCAATGTAGTACCTGGGATGGAACACGTAACAAATTAGTGTAATTTCTAATGTGTATAGTTAGTATATGCCCCCTGTAGGGAAGTAGATCAAAACAAGATTTTTAAGTAAGTTAGCAAAGTAACTTAACTTTCAATTAACAAAGTAACCGTTAATTGAAAAAGAAGTGGAAACTTGCCCAGAATCTTTTTTTAAGAGGTGTATTTTAATCCTGACCTGTAACCCAGATATTGTTTGAGGGTTATAATAATAAATAATCACAACTAATAAATGTTGTATTTAATATGCAGGTAACTTTGGAGATCGATATTTTGGCACCGATGCACCGTCTGATTGGTATGAGAGTGACGAGGGAATGGACTGCTGAGTATCATTCTCATTACCTGAGGGACATGACAGCAATCTGGACAAAGCTATAAAGACTGCAGTTATCCCTGGATGTATTTTGACCATATGTTGAGGACAATATCAAAATGAGTTCTTGATCCAAATTTGGATCAATTCATATGTACTTTGGATTTTTCCAAATGTTACTGTTTGTTATAAATTCAGGCATTGAATGCTCCATAAAGGGAACTATGTATTTATTAAAGTAATATTCAGAATACCTGAACTATTTCCCAATTTCATCTGAATACAATGCCTAGGATTCGTTTTCTGTGCTATATACAGAACTGACCTCTTTGAGCAACTAAGTAGTTTGAAGCATAACTTGTTTAGTTTTAAAAATCTGGGAAAATCAAGATATTTCTGGAAGTTATTGTGTTTTATTTTCAAAATGAGAAGGCGAATACATTTATTTGTATCACTCAGGACTGATGAATGCCTAAAAAGTAATTTATTGGACCATCATGTCATAGCTGTTCATATATGGGACATTCAAATGACAAACCAAATGCCAATGATCTTAACCGTGGGTAATATTGTGATTTTACCCGATTCATCCTCAACGTTGATTATCCCAAACTGTATTAGCAATCTTCAATCGAACAAAACTCCACCTTCATTTCACCTTATTTCAGGTACCTCTCAGGATCTATAGCGACTTCCCTCAACATTTCCCTTGGTAACCTCTAAATGATCTGACTTTATAGAAGTTCTGTATCACTGATCTGGAAAAAGGGATTTTGTTATTAAACTGTCCAAAGACACTTCTCATGCTGGGGGAAAAAAAGTTTTCAAAGGGAAAATAAGGTTTTTAATTAGGCATGAGGATGATTCTGAATGCACTAATCAATTACACACAATTGTGTAGTTTCCCCCATCACTTGTCTTCTAATTGTATTACAGTGAACACTCAAAAGTACCTGCCATCATTGCTGAAAGTAACTTCATCTGAAATGTTCAGATTGCCATGTTGCAATCGTATATCAAGAATAGAAAGTATTTATTGGGAGATGCAAAGCGAAGCTATACTCACTTCCCATTGTGGAGTGTCGGACTAAATAAAATGAGTAGGTGAAACCCATTTTCTCTCTGGTGGTTACAGTGAAAAGCATAAATTAACTTTGACAGGTTAATATAAAGTTGTAGACAAATGTCATGGGACACTGCAATGATGCATAATACAGGACTCTTCAGAGGTTTAGTCCTTCAAAATTCTGCAGGATGTTAAGTTGTACAATATGTGTATGCAGCTTATGCTTAATAAATTGTGATTGAAATTTGTAGAGCCAGGCCTCTAATGTCTTGTTTTTTTAAAAAATAAAAATCTGTTATTTAAAAGAGATTTAATTCCTTTGTTGTCTCTGAAATAGGTTTGAGCCTGTCAAGATACAAGTGTGTTTAAAAATAAATGGGACCGCAAGTGCTGTGCACTATAATTTATTAATGTTTGATTGACTTTGTATACATTACAATTTGTTCATTGGAATTGCATCAATTTTATGCAAAACTGTGGTATTAAGAGTTTTGTGGTTCTTCGTTTCTCTGCTGCTATTTAAGTGAATATGGCAGCACTGAATTCTTTTATTTGGGATGTTAGTGTTAACAGTTGATTCTGTAGAATCCCCGAGAAGTATACTGTGTCACTTTTTTAATGTTTTAAGGACCAAGTCATTTAGTGTTCATGATGTGTACACGGCATCATCCTATTTTGTCTTCTCACACTATTCTTGCAGCTTTTATTCAGTTTGTATCAAATAGGGATACATTGCTACATACAGTACATTGAATTTAGTTTTATCTTCCAGTCAGAATATCTGCACAAACCTAGATGGATGAGCAAAGCAAAATATGATCTAAGGATAAGCCGTGTTAAACTCAGGTGTTGAGCTTTAGAGCCAATCAGTAGTGAAGTCAAATTACTTCTGAAACGTCTCAATAGAATTATGCTTCTGCAATTAGGAAGAACAATGTAAAGATTAGATTAATTGTACAATTTCTTTCTATTTTGATGAAGTATGTACAAAAGTGGAAAATACAGTAATTGAAATGTATTGCATTAGTTTGACTTGAGGTTTCTGTACTTTTTCTATGAAAGTCGAGTACAAAACTATGTCGCACCCCAAAAATTCTAAGATCATCTTCCCTTAGTAATATATACCTTTCTTTAAAAAAGCAGTGTTAAATTTGTTCCCACAATCATCTTAAAGTTTTGTAGTTAGTTGTATTGTTTTGTTCCTGTTCACAACACTTGCACAGGTAGATCCTAGTTTGAACACATTGTCGACAACAACAACTTGCATTTATATACGCCCCTTCATGCGGGGTAGCAATTTGGAGCACTTAAGAATGTCAGAGTTTAATACCGAACCTGGGAGAGGGGGGGAGGTGACCGTAGGCACGGTTGAAGAGAAAGGTCTTCGGGTGTGATTTGAAGGTGGTTAAGGAGGGGGCAAGGTAGAGGGATTGAGGCAGAGAGTTCAGTAGTTTGAGGGCCCAGTGGCTAAAGGCACGGCTGCTGATGGTGGAGCCAAGGGGATGAGGGACACGCAAGAGGCCGGAGGCAGTGGCTGGTTTAGTGGGGTGTAAGCAGGTAAGAGAGGTAGAGAGTTCCAGGGTGTGAATTGATTTGTACGTAAGTGAAGATTTTTAAGTCAATTTGTTCTGCAATAGTGAGCAAGTGGAGCTTGGCAAGGATGAGTGATGGGGGTGCAGAGTTTTGTGTAGGTCAGGATATGGCGGAATTTTGAATTAGCTGAATTTTATGAATTGTGCAGTGGTGAAGCGGTCATTGGAATGATCGAGGCAGGGGGTGACAAATACGTAGATAAGCTTTTAATCTGCGTTGGGTGTGAGGTAAGGTCAGAGATGGGAAATATGATGGAAGTGAAGGAAAGTGGACCTAGTTTTTACCCCACATCCAGCGACCGGATGTGGGGTAGGAAGCACAGCTTAGTGATTGAACCTGACAAGTGTACACATATTCAGTGTCTAAGAGATAGGCTAGGGACATTAAGGAGGTCGGAGCCACTGGTGAAAAGACATTGATGGGAGTTGAGGAGTATAGCTTCCATCTTGTCAACATTCAGCTGCAGAAAGTTGACACACATCCAGACCTTGATGTCTGACAAGCAAGAGGCTAAAATAAAAGCTCTACTTTTGCTTCACTATTATAAGCAATTTCAAATAGTTTTTGTGCTATAAACTCTGACGTTTAACAGAGATGAAATAAGGATATGAATCAGTCAAACGTCAAAACAGTTATAACAAAGTGTACAAGAACAAGTCTTGAAATATACAAATGACAGTTTGGTAACTGCATAAATAATTATTATAAGAGTTTGCTATGCAGATCACTTGTGCTATTTATCCAATAAATGTAATTACGATATAATTATTGTGTAATATTCAAGGATAATGTAATTGAAACAATAAAATTGGAGTGAGACTACATTAACTGTGTTATAATGTATAAAAGATACATAACTAGCCTACAGGTCTAATTCTCCTGAATATATAACATCTGAGGTTTTATAACTGTTTGACTTGACTATCACTTGCAGTGACAACAATGGAATAACGTTTGTGATGTTTTTAATGCATTGTTACTTTATACTAGCGTAAAGTGCCACTAGGTGTCAGCGCTCCCCTCCAGGGATATGGAATTATACTTTATATTCTCCCTTCATGCACTATCATTTTAAAAATCATAAGTTCTAAAAATTCTAGGTCCAGAAATAGTTTTCTAACGATCGCACAATCGACACCAGCCCTTGGACGTCAAGCTGAGGACTTGTCTGCCTGTTCAGGTGGGTATTAAAGATCCCATGTCACTTTGAAGAGTGAAGGGAGTTTCTCCTGGACTCTGGTTAACACGCACTCCATGTGATTTTATGGCAATGCAAAATTGGCTGCTGTTTGCCTACAAATACAGTCACTACACTTTACAATATATTCTGTGAAGTGTGTTTTAGAGTTGAATATATGATGGGGGGGTGGGGGACACTGTTGGTGTGTATCAGATTGCGGGGGGGACAGCGTTGGTGTGCGGTGGGGGTCAGTGTTGGTGTGTGTGGTGGGGTCAGTGTTGGTGTGTGGGGGTGGGTCAGTGTTGGTGTGTGTGGGGGTGGTCAGTGTTGGTGTGTGGCGGTGCGCCAGTGTTGGTGTGCGGGGGGGTCAGTGTTGGTGTGTGTGGGGGGGTCAGTGTTGGTGTGTGGGGGTGGGTCAGTGTTGGTGTGTGTGGGGGTGGTCAGTGTTGGTGTGTGGTGGGGCGTCAGTGTTGGTGTGTGGGGGTGCGCCAGTGTTGGTGTGTGGGGGGGCAGTGGTGTGTGTGTGGGAGGGGGCTAGTGTGTGTGTGGGAGGGGGGGAGACAGTGTGTGTGTGGGAGGGGGGGAGACACTGTGTGTGTGGGAGGGGGGGTCAGTATGTGGAGGGGGCGCCAGTGTTGGTTGTGTGGGGGGGGCAGTGTGTGTGTGGGGGGGGGGCAGTGTGTGTGTGGGGGGGGCAGTGTGTGTGTGGGGGGGGGGCAGTGTGTGTGTGGGAGGGGGAGTCAGTGTGTGGGCGGGGCTTCAGTGTGTGGGGGTGGGTGATGGGGGGGGTCAGTGTGTGTGGTAGTGTGTGTAGGAGGGTCAACAACAAGATTTCATTTATAGAGCGCCTTTCATGTTGGGAGGACGTCCCAAGGCGCTGTACAGTTGGGTCAGGACCTGAGCATTGGGGGGAAATGGTCAGGGTGAGGGGAGGGAAGGGAGGGAGGGAGCGAGGAGGGGGTAGAGAGTCGAGAGGGGAGCTGAAGGCACCGTCAAAGAGAAAGGTCTTGAGACCGGGCTTGAAGGAGGAAAGGGAGGAGGCGGCAAAGGCACTGGGGGATAGAGTTCCAGAGCCTCGGGGCTGAGAGGCTGAAGGCCCAGCCACCGATGGTAGGGCGGTTGGGGCGGGGGATGTGGAGCTGACTAGAGCCAGAGGAATGGAGGGTACGGGCAGGTACATGGGGGGGATAGTAGGTCAGAGAGGTAGGAGGGAGCAAGGCCGTGAATGGCCTTGTAGGTGAGGATGAGGATCTTGAATTCGATCCTCTGGGGGATGGGGAGCCAGTGGAGGCGAGCGAGGGTGGGAGTGATGTGGTCGCGAAGCCTGGTGCGGGACAGTACACGACCTGCAGAGTTCTGAATGACCTGCAGCTTGTGGAGGGAGGTGGCGGGAAGGCCGGCGAGGAGAGAGTTCCCATAGTCCAGCCTTGAGGTGACAAAGGCGTGAACCAGAGTTTCAGCAGCGTGAGGGGTGAGGTAGTGCCGTAGTCTGGAGATGTTTCGGAGGTGATGGAAGGCGGTGCCAGTTGTGGAGCGGATGTGAGGGAGAAAGGACAGCTCAGGGTCGAACAGAACGCCGAGGCTCCTGATGGCGTTGAGAGGTGGAGAGTGCAGCCTTGGATGCTGATGCTGTCAGCGCCTGAGGTGCGGAGGCGCTGACGTGAGCCAATCAGGAGGGCCTCGGTTTTACGCACGTTGAGCTGAGGAAAGTTGTCTCTCGTCCAGGACTCGATGTCGGACAGGCAGAGTTGGGTGTCATCCGCATACATGTGGAAGTTAACCCCATGTCTGTGGATGATGTCACCAAAGGGGGAGCATATAGAGGGTGAAGAAGAGGGGACCGAGGACAGAGTCCTGAGGGACACCGCACGAGACAGTGCGGGGACTGGAGGAAAAGCCGTTTGTGGAAACAAAATGAAGACGGTGGGAGAGGTACGACCTAAACCACTCAAGGACAGGGCCTTGAAGGTTGAGGCGGGAGGACAAGCGGTGGAGGAGGACGACTCTTTCGAGTGGATATCATTCTTTCATTGATTTAGGTATGTGCGAATTTAAGTGTGTGCTCTGCTAAGTACAGTATAATTTTATCCAATTTCAGACAATTTTACTTGGGTTCCCTGAAGGAGCCTGGCATGTAGGGACTTGTGTAGTTACTTTAACCCCGTGGAGCCAAGCAGAGTCAAATACCTTTAAAGTAATATATTTTTACATTGTTATCAACATCTTTGTGTCACCACCTTCCTTCTCTGTGTTCTGTGCAGATTGAAGAAAATGGCAGGACTGTGGAAAGCCTATTTAAGGATCCTGTCAACAGATCCTTGGAAAGTGCAAATAATGACTGCAGGTAAGAAGTTCAGAGAAAAGTGCAGAAATTTCAATTTCATTGTCCCATCTGCCTCTTCAGATAGACGTTAATGATGACTGAAATTACTATGCGTACATTAACTGATGTGTTTACCTACAAATACACAGTCACCTCACTTGATGGCAATTCCGTGTGAAGTGCTTCTGAGATATTTCAAAGGATGGTCACGTTATCCAATGCAAGGATTTTTTTTAAAAAAGGTTGGCCATCATAGCCATAAATCAAGAAATATTCAATCCAGAACATTTATTTTGCTCTGGGATATCTAACTCGGAGAAGCCTATGGGTTGTACTGAAGTAGTTTGAATGACAGCCTCCAGCAATGCCTGAGTATCAGTGCAGTTAGAATTTCTGCTGATCCCTCTTCTTAGTTTGTGGGCTGAGTCCTCGGCCATTTTTGTACCCAGCACTTTATAAAAATCGTGTACTATTAGGCAATGATTTGATCTTCCTATTTGTGAAGCGCAGTACTTTATTTTAAGTTATTTAGCTTCCGACTTGATCATACGGATTTCTAGTGAAATCGGCTTGGTTGCTTATGGTGTTGAATGTGTTTTTTCACATGGCATGTGACCTGAATATTAACCTGTTTCTGAATCAATGAAACTGCTTTTGTTTTTTACCCAACCAAGACTGCTGCTGGCAATGCAAATCTGTAGCCTGAGAGAGCTGAGCTCTGAGACCAATTTGCTTCTCAGTGCAACATTACAATAGCCCTTGAATACGTTACAAAAGCCTGACTCCCTCATACAAAAAACTGGATGATTTATTTCATCTAGTTGTTTGGTTGTTCTCCCTACGCAATATGTGGACATTCTAGTTGCTATAGTTTTAATGGAATTTAAATAATACCTTTAATGTAGAGATAAACGCCATGGGGCTTCGATGCAGGAGTGAACTTGGGCTGCGATATCAGCAAATAAAATGTAGTTGTGTGCACAAGATTACTGCATATGCAATTTACCTGAGAGGCACTGTTAACTTCAAAGTGAGGTGGAGATATCTGATCCACATTTGCCTACAAGTACATTCTGATAGTAATTGCCGAGGAGATACTTTGAAATTTTCAATATGACAGAGTGCTACGAATTTCGAACTGCTGTTTTGAAACAATAAGAATTGACATTTATATAATGCCTTTCATATCAGGAGCACCTCACACTGCTGACTTGGAGCTCAAGCTCAGGGGGAGAACTAAGGAGAATTAGGGAAAAGTGACTGAAAGCCCTATCAGAGAGAGTGCACTGCACAAAATCTTAATTGAACTGTATATTGTATGTATAGGAAGGGATATGCCTCTCTCGTGTTTTCTGCACTTTTGTCAAACCCATGACTACTTGTCCTGTTGAATAGATTGGAATTAAACTTAATTGATATTCTGAATTGTTGGCTTGTTGAACTGACCACTAAAAAACCTTTATCAAAATGCTATTAAGTCACTGAATGTCACGCTTTGTTACTGGATTCCAAAAATAACGCTGTTCCAAATTATAGTTTAGTGTATTGAGTTGTGGTTCATTGGGTTTAGCTCAGGATGTAGTTAAAATGAGAGTCGGTGTAAATGTATAAGCTCATCAAAACATACTGAGCTCTAGACTCGTACTGAAAATCTTGGTAATGCACTTCTAGTTATTATATAGAATAAAGGTTAAGCAAGATTGTCACCTTTTGTGGTGGTTTATTTAATTGAAGCCCAAGTACTTGTTCTGTATCTGAATTTTTATTATTTGAATTGCCAACTAGAGGTGGAGGTCATTGCTGAGCATCCCCTATTCAGATGAACCACAAGTTAAATGCAGAATAAAGTTGAACATAATACCCCAACATTATTCTGCGAATAGTCAGAAAACATGCCTTCCCCTCCTCCGTTGCTTTTATATAATATTTCCACTTCCCACAACCATAATTGTGGTACCACTTTGTGAGGTTGCTAATTCACTGCTAAATTACAGGCAGGTTTCTGCTAAAGGGGTTGCATTTACTGAATTGTGAAGCTAGTTAAAGATATCCATATTTCACTTCAGGGACCTAACAGTCATAGAGAGATTGTAGATTTGTATGATTCTAAGCTGCTTACAGAGATGAATTCCACCCACTTTGCTATCCAGTATGACAATGCTTTTCCTGTGTGCACAAAAATGCATTAAAAACAGGATCCAGTGTTGGTACAGCATTCTTCAATTATGATCTATGGTTATTGAGCCTTCACACTGACAGTTCGTTACAAGAGACATGCAGATTTTTAGCTTGTAATGCACTGTGACATGGTGGTTCATTTTGAAAGAACAAGCATAATAACAACAACTTCCACTTATATAGCGTCTTCCACACAGGGTAGCGTCTCAGAGCGCTTAACAAGTTATTTTGTGCTTCTCTTACCTCTGTTCTGTCTTCTTTCTCTCCCCTCTTGTTGCTTGCTCACAATGAAAAGAGATGGGGAAGGTATGTAGATGCAATGCAAACTTGACTTGGGTGGGTGAGCTGCGAACAGCCTGCCCCACCCTGCCTGTTCCTCATTCGTGGTCCTAATGTCCTAGATTGCAATATTTGAAGCAAAATGAGTACGTGTGACAGGGTGTTCAATAGTGCTGTTTGTCAATAGAGAAATGTCACATACAGCAATACTTAGAAAGCACAGTTTATATTGGGTTGGACATCTCAAAACGCTTCAGAGGCAGCCTGGGCTGGGGGTGGGGGTTGCGGAAGGTGATCAAAAGTAAGACGGTTGAAAAGAAAGATCTTAATGTAGTCTTTTAAGTTGGGGAGGGAGAGGGGCTGGGGGGGCGAGGCAGATGGCCTTCGAGATGACAGAATAGTTGAAAGCTCGACCACTGATGGTGAGGCAGATTGTCAGGGGACAGTGTTCACTGAAAGCTATAGTTAAGAGAAATTAATTGTACGACTGGCGATCAGGATGGGGGAGAGCGAAGAAAGACCCTAATACGCTGCTCACAGTCCAAAAAGGTTTAAAACAAAATGATCTCTAAAGATCTTCACCAATCTGCTCAGTGTTTCACATAGTTTTCCAAATTCATTACTGTCTACTTTAGTCTTTGCAGCTTTCTTCTTTCAATCTTTCTTTCACCTCCTGCCCTTTATCCGTGTGCATTTTAAAGCTATCTTTATTTTTGCCTTTGGTTTCATCTCAGTTATCTTTTATCATTTATTTTAAACTTTCAAGTCCTGATCCGCTGAATATAGTTTGCACACTTAGCTGGAGTATCTTAAGTCAGATTTCTTTTTACTCCCTTTCTGGTTCAGTGGTAGCACACTCGGCTACTGAGTAAGAGGGCTGTAGGTACAAGCCGGTCCCACTTCAGGACTAGAACTCATATAGTTTAAGCTGACACTCCAATGCATACATAAAAGGGGGTGTGTTGCATTGTTAGTGATGCCATCCTTTGGATGAGAAGTTAAACCAAGTTCCCGTTTGCCTGTTCAGATGGATACTATCCCAAGACACTATTCAAACAGAGAAGGGAGTTTCTCTTGGTGGCCAATAAGCCCCAAAATAAAGTTGATCATTTACTTCATGACTATTTGTGGGATATTGTTGCGTGCAATTGGCCTGGCGGGTTCACCTACAAATACACAATGACTCCATTTCACAGTAAAAGAAATCCTGAAGTACTGTGGGACTTCCTCCCGATGTTAAAGTCACTATACCAAATGCAAGGATTATGTATTCAGACTATTGGTTGGTGTGCTCTGTGAGTTCATGTATTTTGCATCTATCCTCAGGTAGGTCCATTATGCAAAGGATCAGGTTGTAGCTTTGTTTTCAGAAGATCACCATAGAGTACTACTAATCAAATAATAAGTCTTGTATTTGTTGTAGCGCCTTTCACATCAGGAGGACCACCCATAGTGCCTCAAAGGATATACTGTAAACTGCAGTGATCGTGTTTGGGTGAGGGAGAAGCAATTTAACTCTTATTTCAGCAGACATGCAAACCACTATAAGAATATAAGCAACTGCAGGATGGAAAGAGACTATATCCATATGTGGTACTTTTCAGTTATCACATCACATGGTCCCCACCCCATTCACTGTTAGAAATCTATTCAATTTCCTTTTGAAACTCCTCCCACTACTGGGGATTGTTTTGTGAACGTTGCTGAGCTGTGTGTAGAAAGTATCTGCATCTCTTTTCCCATCTCGATTTCCAATTGAGTTTTGGACTACAATACAACATGTTATGACTATTGAATAAAATTTTGGAGATTAGCCTTCAGCACATTCAAATTCCTATTCCTTGGTATTCAGTGTACATCTGGAATGTATTTTGTTTTTCTTTTAAAGGAGGTTTTGCTGGCATCCGTGCTGAGTTTACTACACAAGCGCTTTATTTAGTAATATTTTATATGTAGTTTAGTGGCCACTTTCAGCGAGGAAGGTGACTAGCATGGTTGTTATGGATGTTTTGGTCTGAGGGTTTGTTCTCCCATTAGCTGCACATTGTTCTTACTCTAACCCTGTAGCTCAGTGGTTAGAGCATTCGTCTCGCAAATGAGATACCTGGGTTCGATTCCCGGCAGGGCGAAACGATGGGTAACTGTCAATACTCCACACGCCTCTGTTTACCTAGCAGTAAGCAGTAACCGGTTGTTAGTCGATTGGCGCATGTGAGTATGGATTTATTCATATGTTGTTATTCACCAAGAACTGATGGCTTGTATGGTAAACGATAGAGGGAAGCAGTTCCAAAGGGTGCGGACATAGTTGCTAAACACTTGGGCAACAATGGTGAGTAAACAGCAGGCCTAAGGTTGCTGAGCAGAAGGGGAGCAATAATAATAATAATCCATGCATTTGATTTAGAGCCTTATCATGTCGTTGAGACGTCTCAAAGCACTTCAAAGAATATGCTGTAAAGTGAATTGACTGTACATTTTGTGGGCAAAATATTTTGTGGGTAGGAGAAGATCAGAAATAGGGAGGAACTAGCTTTAATGTCTTATCCAAAGGAAGGTATGTC